CTGAAAATACAAATATTGTAGATTCTTTATAAAGAGCATCATTCAAATTAACATGCCTAGATTCTCAGAATTTTCTATGAATTTTTTTAAAAAAATCTAAAGAGTGAAAATGTTATTAATATTAATATTTTTTTTTGTAATTCATTTTTGGTTTATACAGAATTTATTTTAGTTCGATTGTGTAGGAAGCTATAAGCTTATAGACACACTTTCGAATCCGTTCCTGGAACCAACCAGTACTGAACAATGAGTGTAAAGTTTCTTGCTCAAGGAAACAACGACTTGCCCCTGATGGGGTTTGAACTCATGCATCTAGCGATCATTAGATTACTAGTCCGACGCGTTATCCACTCGGCCATTTTTACATCTAGGTTAAATACTCATATGGAAGCACGTTGCTTTAAATCAATGTTAGAATGGGCCTTTATATAAAGTGATGAAACTAAGTCATTTTTAAGCATAGAAGAGTTTAGATGCCAGATAATACATGACATGTGTTGTAAAGCTTTAAATATGTTATGATTTTGAAACATTTAAAGGAACTAAAATTTTGACATGACAGGACTTGAAATAATTTTCGAAGATTTGTCTCCCATTTGATGAAGTTCTGGACTAATCACTTTCATGCAAATTTTCATGTGTTTTTCAATAAAATATAATGACCCAAAAATGAAAAGCTTTGCAAAGCCTTTTTACACAAATGGCATGATATCCAATTAAATCAAGAGAATATTTCCTCATTATATTTTGCAGATTTTTTTGTGTTTAAGTGCTTCACTTGATCTATGTAAGAATTTCCAATTTTATGTTTTAAGGCTTTCTCACCTCAATGGAGTTCCTTTAACAAATGACTTGTACAATTAATAAGCTGACGAAGAATCTAAAGTGTAAGAACTGTAAACAGCAATAAAGTATCAGAATATTGCCCTGTCAGTCTATATATCTATGGAGTCTGACATACTTGTAACATTATTTACTCAGTTTTAACTTTTTGATACTTGACAACTCTGCTATTTACTAACAGTTAGTTTCAAATTTCAAAGCAAGACAGGTCCGTTTGAAAAACTAGGTAGAGAAATGGTTAAATACATAACAACTCACTTTTTGATGGAGTGGTATTCTTTTTAGGTGTTTTGTGAGTGTGCTCCATTACAGCCACTGATTGACGTCTCTGAAGTTTTACCCCATTTCTCTTCTTATCATATGGTGATTTAGGTGCTAAAATGTTAAAGAATATAGTTAATATAGATATTCATAAGTTACATGATAACATACATGTATAAAGAGGATTTGTTGTTTTTAGGATTTAGCCAAAGTTTGTAACAGGTTTTTAGCCCTTTAGAAGAATGATAAAAATTCTGAATCTTAGGTCCTTAGAAGTAAATTCTCACCCTGCCGAGAAAACAAGGCAATACTCACTTTTATCTCCTGCTTTTCTCTTGGAAGAACTCTTTATTTTCTTCTTGGCATTTTTCTCAGTCTGAAAATATAAAACATGAAGAACTTATAAATCATATATCCAATGTTCTATGTTATCTTTACTTTCACAATTGTTTTACATATTTCGTATGAAATGATACAGAACAGTGAAATATTATAACTTTCTCTATCGGCATATTGTAAGACCTCAAGAAAGACTAAAATGACTTTTAGCACTTGTATAATTAATGAATTTTACTAAATAAACTAGAACTGTGTCCAAAGGACACGGATGCGCCCACTGAAACATATATATGGTATATAGTGAAAAAATCAACAAAGGGCCATTATTCTGTTAAATTTGGTCGCAGCAAAAATTCCTTCCATCCACACATTAAGGTTGTTCATCCCTGGAAGTTTAAGCAAAATCTGCCATCAGGTTTAAGAGGAGTTGTGTTCACAAAACTTCTACATAGTATATAGTGAAAAAATCAACAAAGAGTCATAATTCTGTTAAATTTGGTTGCAGCAAAAATTCCTTCCTTCTACACAATAAGGTTGTTCATCCCTGGAAGTTTAAGCAAAATCTGCCATTCGGTTTAAGAGGACTTGCCTTCACAAGATTTTGGGACGTACGGACTGACGTACATTCCAACATTTTGGGGTTCGGGGCCATTTTCTTTGTTTTCTTAAGGGCTACTAGCCCATAAACCCTTTGATCACAGAATGAACATATTGCTCTCTTTTGTTCTCTTTACTGTTATATAGCCCCTAAACCCAAAATGTTTGCTCGTACAGACGTACGTTCCAACATTTCGGGTGAAGGGGCTATTTTTTTTTTTCTTTAAGGGCTACTAGCCCATAAACCCTTTGATCACGGAATGAACCTATTTTTCTCTTTTGTTCTCTTTACTGTTACATAGCCCCTAAACCCAACATGTTTGCTCGGACGGACAGACGTACGTACGGACTGACAGACAAGTGCAACGCTATATGCTCCCACTTTGTGGAGGCATAAACATATGCTGAAATATATTTGTCTTTAATGTACAAGGAAGACTTCAATTAGCATTTGGAAGCTTTCTATCTAACTAAAGTATTTGTGTACTAGTATTTAGTGAATAAAAAATGTTAAAACCAATGTATATGTACAATCTATATAAAGCAATTTAATGTTGAGATAAAAAATCATTCTATTTTCATTCGAACCAAGCCTAAGAAAATCTACACCTGAAAATCTCCGCCAGGATAAAGTTGTTTATGAACCCAGGAAATTAAAGGATTTTCATAGTTATTCAAAACTACCAGTCACAAAAAGTAGCTGATTGTATTATATTTTTTAACCAACTTTGATCATAATAAAACATGTGACACATGTCTAAATGACTTTTTTGCAACTTTAACAAGAAAAAATATATAAATCATCACCAATTTGTCATTCCATGACTTGAAAATCTACACCTGAAAATCTCCGCCAGGATAAAGTTGTTTATGAACCCAGGAAATTAAAGGATTTTCATAGTTATTCAAACTACCAGTCACAAAAAGTAGCTGATTGTATTATATTTTTTAACCAACTTTGATCATAATAAAACATGTGACACATGTCTAAATGACTTTTTTGCAACTTTAACAAGAAAAAATATATAAATCATCACCAATTTGTCATTCCATGACTTGAAAATCTACACCTGAAAATCTCCGCCAGGATAAAGTTGTTTATGAACCCAGGAAATTAAAGGATTTTCATAGTTATTCAAAACTACCAGTCACAAAAAGTAGCTGATTGTATTATATTTTTTAACCAACTTTGATCATAATAAAACATGTGACACATGTCTAAATGACTTTTTTGCAACTTTAACAAGAAAAAATATATAAATCATCACCAATTTGTCATTCCATGACTTGAATAAAGTATGTACAAACAACCCTTAATATAATATTGTGAAAGCAAAATGACAAAATGTTAATGTTTTATATGAGTATGAAAAAGCAGGTAAACAGTATGTAGTAGGCATATTATTAATATTCTTATCTCATAATGGCATAAAGAAGTAGGAATATGGTCAATATATATTACAAACCTGCTTTGGAAGTTTATCTACAACAATTTGCCGTTTTGAGCCAAAATCTACCATACTATAATGATGTACCAGTTTTCTACTGCCTCTGTTAATATACAAGGTGAAAATGAGCTGACAGTGAAAACACAAAACCAGATAAATTGTGATCAAAATATAGAACAATACACAAAGGTCTCCCAATGGAGAATTTTACTAAAACAACCTAAATCCTTGGAATGCTCAAGCCTACAAATATTATGATATTACACAATTGCATATAATATTATCACTGATAGATAATGTCCTTCAGATAAATTGCATATCATGATATGTTAACCATTTTTGTTTTAAAACAAACAAAAAACAAAAAAACATGTCCTTTCATCTGTATCTGGAAAAAATATTTATCAAAGAATATATTACCTTGAAATGCAATTTAACTTAGTATGAGTATATATAAAATGTACCAGAAAAATGGTGTTTTGGTGATTTACCTTGATGTATTAAGTGAGGTATCCAGCTTTACTGACTGATTAGACTGTGGTCCTACTGACCCATGTGACCGTGTTCTTGCAGATGGAGGACCCAGTCCATCTTCACTCATTAGAGACTCATCATTCAGTCCAGACTGGTCCATACTGGCATCTTCTGGTGAGAGAATATTGGCAAGACTCTCTGGTAGTGGCTGCATCAGCTCATCATAGATATTGCCCAATGTCCGTGGTATTGTATGCATGTAGCTAATAATAAATGAAAATATATATCTTAACTCTTACCAAGCTAATTTTTTTTATATTACTAAATTTTTATTTTTTCACTCTTTTTACGTATTTTTGAGGACAGCAAGTATCTTACAATACAAAGAGTCACTTTTTTTAATTATAAAAAAATCTCTGCAAAACCTTTATTAAACCTATTTAAACATGTTAGAAACATACACTCCAATTTATACTTATATTTTCCTTGCCTTAACATCAATCTATACATATTCAACATCTAATCTTTACTTTGATGGTTGATTTATTTATATAAGATTTAATTCATTTGATTAGAGTATGAGAATTTTCTTACTTGTGAAGGAGAGAAGACTGCAAAAACTTAGATAGTAGTCCTGGTTCTGATATAAATGACAATGTCCTCAACATGCTGACAATCTGAAATACAAGTCAGAAACTATCATAATCTATCATAATTATTATACATAATGTTGTAGACCAAATTAGCATAAAAAACAATTCTACACTCAGGATACAATCTCATGAAAATGAGTTCAGCAGTTAAGCAGGAGCACACTGTCAAGTTGAACATCATGAAAGTCATAATAAGGGGAACAGGCATGTCAATATCATAGCTATGTAACTCTTGACAGAAATTTTACAATAATAACTTCCACAGAATGTTCAACTTTACTAACCTCATCCATATCTTCAGATTCCTCAGTCTTCTCTTTCTCCTCTAGTGTAGATATCATCTCCATTCTTACCAGAATCTGTGTCTCATACCTGAAAATGACACATTTTCTCATAATCATTCAATGATATGCATGTATTTATTTAAAGGTCCAAGTGTTAAGCATCTAACTTGCTACAAGGCATTTATTTAAACATTATAAAAACTAATGTTTATCCTTTTTTAAAGAAGGGAAAAGTATTTTTTTTATTACAATTAAGCCATTGTGATGACAGTGATAACTTTAAGGACTCAATTCAAAACTTAGTGTGCATATATAATGAGCTGAGACCACTTGCTTTTAGATAATAAAATTATCATGTACAAGTATCTGCAATATCCATTTGATATTATTTTTTATCACTTTATTTTTCTTCCATATTGGGCTTCAAGTAATTCACTGTAAAGGTCATGTGGGGACTTTGCAGCTTTACAAAAAAAGGAACACATTAGATGCAATAATTAAGGCATAAGCAGGCACTGGAAAGAAATATATATCTAGATACTACAAGTAAGATCTTTGTAAATTAGTATGTTGCAATGCAATAATTCAAATACTTTGAATGTTAAAGATGGAAAAGTAATTAAGCCATTAGTGATGGAAATCGGATGAAATTTGTCCCAATCGATCATCGGTTCAATCGGATGGGCCATAATCGATAACTTTTCGAATAAAGTCGCGTTAAAAAGAAATAGGGATGACACATTTCTTCCCAAGGCACTTGATTATATTCAGTAACATGAACTACATTTAGCACTTTTCAACACAGTTTTAACCTTATATAGTCATAATTTTACGAAATAGATTTTATTTTTTCAATGGATGTCAAATAATAACATTCACATCACATTATATTTCTATTGTTTACATCACGTATTGATCCTGTTCAACTCCAAATTGTCTCCGAGATAATTTTTTTGCGACCGGCAAAGAAAATTACCGTCAGAATTAATTCCCTTTGATACTTTAAACATTTTCGACGACGTCGCGGAACAAATTTTTGTGAATCGATTATCATCGCTTTACATAACAGTAACTGATTATCGGCGACTTGCGACAATCGGAACATCACTATAAGCCATTGCTAGAGGGCATGACAGATGTAGCTTTCTTGCATATCAGACAGGATTATCTACCGTTTACAACGGTGCTAGAAAACTCTATCTTACACCCCCCATGTAAGACAAGTCGCGTGCTTTAAATGACGTCATTGACACACGCCTTTTGTGAATGAATTGCGTTCTTTGGATGACGTCATAACCGTTATGAATAAAGTTGTAAGTTCATATGCTACTATAAGAAGAAAGTGCGTAATGAGAATATCAGTTTTCATAATTTCTATTCCGAAAAATAATTGACATAATGTAATATGCAAGAAAAAGAATCAAACACCGGCTGTCCCTACAGACGGGAATATCTAGCTCTCGGGTACCTGTTCAGCGGAAACTTGGCATAGCTTTGTTACCGCCGTAAACAGTTACCCTCGAGCTAGATATTCCGGTCTGTACCGGCAGCCGGTGTAAGGTTCTTATACTATTCATTATCTCTCTAGACTTCATCTGAGTCTGAAGTATTCATATATATATTTAAGTATTTACTTCTTTTGACAAATTTCTTCTTTTTTTATTAAATAAATAAATCTAATTTGTAATAATGATAAAAACAAAAATGACTTACTCTGCAACTTTTTGTTCTAATGGTAGCTGCTCATGTTGACTGTACTTTTCTCTCAACTGATTACCTGTTGCCAGTAATGTATCCATCAGAAGCTTCTTACAGTCCTCCTGAAACAAGAATATGTGTGTATCTATGATATATTTTTAACACATGACAGAAAATCAAAGAACAAGGTTTTTCACATTTATTACAGATGTGAAAAAACCCAATATGAAACAGCCACAAATTTGCCAGAAATTATCAAATCATAAAATCACGACAAGGGCATTTGATGAAAATAATTCTGTGAAAGTTTGGTTGAATTCTTTGAGAAAAGTAAGAGTTGGGCAAGGAGACATTGTCTTATCCAGCAACACCTTCCCTGTCAACAATCACTAATCTAAAAACCAGTCTTCTGTTGGAAAATCTACATGTAGTTAAAAATAAAATTCATGTATCAAAAACCAAATTAAAACTATATGTTTACATTTTATTATGAATTTCCTTTCATGCCTTACAGATTTAACTTTAGACAGGATAAACTACAGCTCTGCAATGATGTGTCAACTCTTGCCTGTTTTACATGTCAAGAATAGGACAATATAAGGAGATGTATCAAGTATGGTTCTTTTATTATATACTTTTCCTCAATGAGATCTCGAGAGATCTGTCACATAAAAGGTAGATCTATGTTTTCATCTGAAAATTTTGTCAAACAACTGTGCCTTGTCATGATTTAAAGAATTACAAAGTTCCTGTTGATACCATATAAAATGTTTGAGAAATAGAAAACATTTAAGCTTTTCCACAGCAAATTTTTGTACAGTGATAATGATCAACTTATCATAAAAGCTCGACTTGTTTTAGGAAACAGACAAGCTAAAAATTGAAAAATATAGACCTTGTGCTCTACCACTGATGATTATCATTTTACCTTTGCACATGTTTTGTCTTCTTTTAGCATGAAATAATGAAGTGCCACTGTGACCATAGATTGTATACAGCTATCTATATCAGTTACTTCCCCTGATGCTGCTCTCTCATATGTGGAGGTAAGATAATTCTTGAGTTCCTCTTCAGTTTGAAAATCTAAACAGTAAATACATCATAGTGTTCATTAGTGTTCTAATTATAATTATAATTCCAAACCAAACTTTATGCCAAATTGTTGTACTTGTATAGTGTATATAATGTTGTATCTTCTATTTATTAAGCAGAGCTCCAGAATGCATTTGTATCAGCATAAAATATGCAGTGTAAAATCCAAAATACACATCAGTTTCAGAATTCATGCGTCACAGTACTCACAACAAAATGAAAACATGCTTGTATATCAAAACAAATCATGCATGAGGAATAGTACTAAGTAGTGTTAAAGTTTGATATCTAAAAAGGAGATGTGTTGTTTTCCTAAAAATACAAAATAATTCTGCTTTATGGTATGGAAAACTAGCAATATTCTGGATTACAGTGCCTACAAGCATTCTGCCTTTAAAAAGATACTGTGAAACATTCAGAAGCAACATGTAGCCAAACTATCCTTGTTTCTACATGGATATGATTTCCTGACTTCATATTTCAGTGGAACCTTTTATAATAAAATCAAACAATTTTTTTTTAGTTTAGACATAGACATAAAATGATATCAAAATACTGTAAATAGTCAGTCCTTTTTCTTTCTACCTGCTAAATGAGCTGCCAAGTCTGGTTTATCCCTCTCTAGTTTAGTACCAACACTGTCGACAGTTTTCTTCTGTTTATTATCTTGTACCATCTCCTTACTCTTGAACAGTATCTTATCTGTCCTACTTAATGATACATGTGAGGTCTTTCCTCTATTATGTGATACCACAGCTTTATCTACAGCTTCCATTTTTGTTTCTAAAACAAATATGATTTATAAATATTAGGAATGGGTTATTAAAGCAGAAACAAGAACATTTTATTCTGTGTCACATTTAAAGCAACTACCTCCAAATTAATGCTAATTTTAATTAAAACTTAATGTTTTTTCTGTTTTGTTGTTTAAAGGTGGAAGGGGTTGTAAATAAAATAAGATCATGAATACAAGGCGATTCAAACATAGTTACTTATCAAACTTTAAACATCATTTACACATTTTTGTTTATGAATTCCTACTCAGATTTAAGCACACAGACCTAATACGTACACAATAACTACATGGACTACAAAATGTAACAAACGCAATTCATGATTTCATTTCTCAGGGTTAAACATTTTTCACATTTGTTTATATGCAAAATAGAATGAATATTGCCCAGTTTATAAGTTTTCCAGGATTTGTGGTGGTTGTTTGATATTTAAAAGTTCTAGTGTATCACTAATTTATATAATAACCATACCCACCTGTATTACATGTTAAAGATGAATCTCTCAAGCCTGGAGGTTGCTTTGCTTTCCTGTAGCTTTTACTCAACTGTTTCAATGTTGCCACTTCATCTGATGACAAGAAATCCAATTCTGATATCCTAAAATGTCAAGCATTAAACAATCTAAACAAGTAGTTCTGTATTTATAACTGTTACAGTGTTACAAACAATAACAACATGCCTATGGCATAAGTACATAGCCAGGCCATACAACACATCAGACAGTGCAGTATGATTAGGCCCAAACTGGTTGGCAGCTCATTTTCATTTTTACAATACTGAAATCCCTAATCCTTGTAATGGGTTGTTCTTGATTAAAATCAGGACAAGTTCATAACAGTAATACAGCAGGGCTAAGGGTTAAACTATTCAAGACCTCAAATTACCAAGGAGGATAAATTCTAAACATGGATGTAAAGCACTATCTTATTTAGCCAATAAGATAGTCATGTGTTCTTACTTATTTAAAGATTCTACAATCCATGACAAATTTACAGTCTAGGCAAGCAAAAGAAGAACAAGTATTTGACCCCTAATTATGATCATGACCAGTCCTCTGAACTATGATTCTGATTTTGAGAATAAAACACGGCTTATAAAGAGGTTGACAAAATTTGTGTTGTTATTTGAGAGACCCTCAATTTATCGCAAAGTTGGAGATCAAACAATATTTGTTGAACATATCACAAGCTAGATATCACACATGAATGAAACTGCAATTTCAACAACTAAGCCAAGTCAGCTGTAAGCAATTTAAAAAAAAATATTGTTTAATTTAAAAGAAATATTTGAACATAGAAAATAAATTTATCAGTGTTTTTCATACCTGAGAAATCAAATTAATTCATCTTGACAATAAGTCTGAATGAAAAGTTTCGCTTAATGTTTTATCACATATTATTTGCTAGCTTTCTTTGTTGCACTTGGCAACAGTTTCTTAAGAATTTGAGGTAATACATACTTATCACTGCCTATAAAGTGCCTGAATTGCACCAGTTCTAACCTGTTTTTCACCCAGTTACTGTCTATTCTTCAATAATTTATCATTTGAAACAGCAGTGAAGAATGTGTTATAGAATAAGACTTACTGTCTTTAACTAATTATCAAGTAGAAATATGCAACAAGACTCTTCATGGTAAATATTCATTGAGTCTGTAGACATTACCTTAATGAGCTAACTTGACAAGGTATTTTTCAATCAAACAAGATATTCAATATTTGTTTTAAGTTTCTTACCTTTCATTTAATTTAGAAATGAGGTTCTGTACAGACTTAGAGCATCCTGGCACCACATGACGATCAAGCTGTAATCCATCTAAATGTTTCCCTTCAACACACTCTCCAACATCTGTAAAATAATTAATAGAATTACTGTATCTAAAAGATTGTAGCACAAAATATCCATAATCTATTCCTGTACAGTGTCAAATTCTAAATGAAACATGTCAAATATTTATAAAATTTAAAAAACAAGAGGGCCATGATGGCCCTGAGGTCGCTCACCTGTATATAGCCCCCCCCCCCCCCCGGCCCCCCCCGGCCCAATTTTTACCCAAGGGCTTTTATTTGTTTATTTGAACAGACTTTGGTAGACACCCATAAGAAGATGTTTTATGCAAAACATCTAAGTTCTAGCTCATTGGGTTTTTTAAAAGAAGATTTTTTAAGTTTTTACTATACACATATAGTTAAAAACAATGACACCGGCGGGGCGGGGCCAATTTTGACCCCAGGGCTTTTATTTGAACAAACTTGGTAGACATTTACTAGAAGATGTTTTATGCCAAATATCTAAGCTCTAGCTCTTACGGTTCTTTAAAAGAAGATTTTTTAAGTTTAAACTATATGCATATAGGGAAAATCAATTACCCCCCAGGGCGGGGCCAATTTTGACCCCAGGGCTTTTATTTGAACAAACTTGGTAGACATTCACTAGAAGATGTTTCATGCCAAATATCTAAGCTCTAGCTCTTTGGGTTCTTTAAAAGAAGATTTTTTAAGTTTTTACTTTATGCATATAGGGAAAATCAATGACCCCCTGGGGCGGGGCCAATTTTGACCCCAGGGCTTTTATTTGAACAAACTTGGTAGACATTCACTAGAAGATGTTTCATGCCAAATATCTAAGCTCTAGCTCTTACAGTTCTTTAAAAGAAGATTTTTTAAGTGTTTACTATATGCATATAGGGAAAATCAATGACCCACCGGGGCGGGCCAATTTTGACCCCAGGGCTTTTATTTGAACAAACTTGGTAGACACTCACTAGAAGATGTTCCATGCCAAATATCTTAGCTCTAGCTCTTACAGTTCTTTAAAAGAAGATTTTTTAAGTGTTTACAATATGCATATAGGGCAAATCAATGACCCCCCGGGGCGGGGCCAATTTTGACCCCAGGGCTTTTATTTGAACAAACTTGGTAGACACTCATTAGAAGATGTTTCATGCCAAATATCTAAGCTCTAGCTCTTAGGGTTGTTTAAAAGAAGATATTTAAAGATTTTTCTTTCGGTTGCCATGGCAACCAGAGTTCTGCATGGAATTAAATTCTTTGAACAATTTTTAAAGGTGACCACCAAAGGAACATTCCTGTGAAGTTTGGATGAAATTGGCTCAGTGGTTTATGAGGAGATGTCATTTAAAGCAAAAGTTTACGGACGGACAACGGACGCCGGACGGACGGACGCCGGACGAAAAGCGATCACAAAAGCGTGACAGGTGAGCTAAAAAATACAAATAATTTACAAGCTACCAACTCATTTTCTCAAAATGCCTTTTTGCAATAATGAAAGGCGATTTCCATTGAGGGGGATGTGATTATCCTTTCCTGTTTCAGATTTCATAACGAATATTGATCATTTTGTTGATTTGAGAAAGAGTAAGTTTTGATAAATGGGATTTTGATACACACTTTATTAACATTAACACAACATACCATTCCCTCTGGGCACATGAACAGAGCCCACCAGTTTATCAACCATTTCATCAACAAATTTCTGTTTGTCTTCATCTGTACCGGAGACAGTCTGTTTACAGGTGGCCTGTAACAGCAGTTGTTTTTCTACACATAGAGTGGTGTCTACAGACAGTACAGACAAAGTGGCTGTATGAGAGGTCAGTGGTTCCATCAGAATCAGTTGTCCAGTCTTGTTACATACCAACACCTAGATAGTAAATAAAGTTCAGCTTAGTATTTCATATAATTCAAGTTAACAAAATATATCTAGAGATCATGAAAACACTAGAACTTCAATGTACTTAATATCATAATATTAATATACAACAATGTCTAGATAAACACATGAAATGCATTTCAATTTTCATGTACAATGCAACATGATGCGACACGATATTATAAATTGATGATATATGACAGATATGATTTGATGAGCTTTGTTTTGGTGTTACTATGATTTGTTGTATTAATGTAGCAAAACTTGGTATGACACATGGTATGAATTTGATATGATGGATATATTCATTGTAAATTTCTGATTTGAATGATAAGGTATCATTTTATAAGATAATTATTTGCTGTCATATATCATGATTTGATGTATTAATGAAACATGACTTGTAAGTGGTGGCATGATCAAATGGTTAACATGTTGGACTAATAATCTAACAATCACTAGCCGCATGGGTTCAAACTCTGCCAGGGGCAAGTTGTTGATTCCTTAAGCAAGAAACTTTATACGCATTGCTCAGTATTGGTTGGTTCCAGGGATTGATTCGAAAGTATGTATCTCTACACATACCAGTATGTAATTTCTGGAGACAAGCTCTTGGACAACTTTTCCCAGCATTCCCTCCACATATCCTGCTGTTGTTTTCCCGGTGTCTGCTTTAACCTTCTCTGAACACAGGTAACTTGCTACAACAGGAAAACTAAAACCCAATAAGCTCTTCTTTAAAACAGCATAGCCCTGTAGTACATCTGACTGGAGGTAACAACTATAATGTTCATTTCCTGGTGGACTTGTTTTCCTCTGTGATCTAAACAAGTTAACAAATTACATGTACTTTTCATAAACAAATTACATGTACTTTTCATAATAACTTTTTTTTTCCATTTTAATATGGATCTTCAAGTCTCATAATATACTTTTGGTTGATATCAGAATAGTAGTAAACAAAAATATCTATAACTGTTTGAAGTTTCAATAAAATGATATTGACAGTTTAAAAGTCATTCTCCAGATAAGCATTTTTCATAAACTTTTACATTTCGGCAGATAATTCGAAAATAAGGCAGGGTAAAATTGTGGCTTTTGTACACTGCACTTCCATTTATCTATCACAGTATGAGGTTTTATTATTTCTATCATAGTAATAGTATGAAGTTTTAATCAAATTCCTTTAATATTTTTCAAGTTTTCCTCTGGACAAGAGTGTGACAGACGGAAGTCAGAAGGACAGACAAAGGAGCAGCTTTAATATTTCCTTAAACACAACTTAATTTCTATTTTATAGTGGCATATCTGTCCTTAAATGTCTGTACTATTACAGCAATATCTGCCCTATGGTGACAATTTCTGTCCAATGTTTGCAATAAATGACCCATTGGCATTTATATCATATACAGTTAATATAAGTGCTATATTGGCAATTCTGTTCTATATTGTCTATTTCAAGTGTTCACAGACAATGTTTGTACTTTATTGGCAATGTCAACTTGCAATCTATATAGGCAACTTCTGCCTTATATTAATGAGATCTGTTTTATAGTGAAAATCTTTGTTCTATATTGTAATTATCTGCTATATATTGGCAATTTTTGTCTTATAGTGACAATTTTTGTCATATATAGCAAATTTCTATCTTACATTGTCAATTTTAGTCCTGAATTGTCAAAGTTTGTGTGATATTTTCAATTTCTGTAATATATTGTCATTCTTGTCCTATAGATATAAATTTCTGTCTTCTGTCCCAATATTGTCTTTTTTATCCTTTAGACTATATTGTCAATTTTTGTCCTTTAAATGTCAATTTCTAAATATATTGTCAATATATGTCCTACATATCAAATTATAATTTCCACCTATGATTTATATAATATTGTCAGTATCTGTCCTACATAATAATCTTAAAAGCACAACACTTACATATTTGCATGGTTTACAATAATTTGTCTTGTAGCCAAAACTTCCAATGTCTTATTTCCTGGAAAGCAATAAAGAGAAATGAAATTAGATATAAACAAGCAATTATCAGATATAAACAAGCAATTATCATAGTATTGCAAGCAATCCATAAGTCCCCTACCTGTTAGAACCCCAGCAACATTCTGATGGGCCATTGGCCATTCAATTATACCATTGGATGAAATGAAGTACATCAATGAACTTATATCTTTTGAGTTCTAAGTTTGTCTATATCATAGTAATGTGTTAGTTTCCCTGCCAAGTAAGAAATTATGTTTATACAACAGAATGGTCCAATTTTCTCAGGCTGAATAAGTATAACAAATGTTTCAACTTTTCTCTATGTTAAGTAAATTTCTTGGAAAAAAATCTTGTCATATTATTATGAAGTTGGAGTTTGAAGTAAATCTTAAAAGGAATGAAGAAGTTGGGAGTAAAAAATACCAATTTCTCGAAAAAGTTCAAGGGGGGCATAATTCTGAAAATAGTCTTGCTAGACTATTGAACCTTCTCACATATGTTGAGTGATAATAAGAAACATACATATGAAGTTTGAAGCAGATACATTAAGAAATAAAGAAGTTATTTAAAAAAAATACATTTTTTTCACGAAAATTCTAAGTTCAAGGGAGGTAGTTCTGATATTTTTTATGTTAGAGTTGTAAACTTTGTCACATATGATGTGGTTGATGACCAGAAAGGCAGAAACTAATATTAAAAGTTTAAAGAAATAAAAAAGCTATAGTGAAAAAGAGTAAAAACTGGAATCATAAATCTTGAAATTCAGTGCATTTGTTGCCATAGCAACCAGAATTTTCAACACAGGAAGTAAAGGAAACAATGTGCATAATCTCCAGACTGCCATCTACCCATATTTCAAGTTTCATAAAAATATTTTCAGTACATTTTACGTTATCAACTTATCACTGGATCCAGGTTATGTGTGAAATTTGCCATATTTTCAGTCTATTTGTTGCCATAGCAACCAGAATTTTCAACATAGGAAGAAAAGAAAAAGACGTGTATAATCTTCATACTGCCATCTATCCATATATCAAGTTTCATAAAAATATTTTCAGTACTTTTTAAGTTATCATGGGATCCAGTTTTGTGGACGGACGGACTGACAGACGGAAATTCCAACATTTTGGGTTTAGGGGCTATTTCCTTTGTTATTTTCTTTGTTTTCTTAAACCCTTTGATCACGGAATGAACCTATTGTTCTCTTTTGTTCTCTTTACTGTTACATAGCCCCTAAACCCAAAATGTTTGCTCGGAGGGTCAACCTAAAGTCCCCTCCGGTTAAACCGGTAGGGGACTAATAAACTCAAATATTTATTAGGGTCAAAAATGAGTTATGACATTTGGAGAAGCACACAAAAACTACCAGTAGGACAGCATGCTGTACTAGTAAAACAAGAGCCTCAATAATGTTGTGAATTTCATTCAAAATCCATGACAGAGATATAATTTCAAAGTAATTTCCAAATTAAATTGTTCTACTTAATATTATTGGTACTTTTTAAATTTGCTTTTAATCTTAACTTTAGGACTGACAGGTATTTAAACTTTGTCAATTTTCAATTAAGGGCATTTCAAAATAGGGGAATTTAGATGTAGTTTTCTTTTTGAGCTGTGCTATGACACTCTTTTTTGTGATATTATACAGAATATTTTGTGCTGATAAAGTAAGATTACTGTGTTTTTTAATGATATAATTATTATTCATTTCAACAAGTAAGTAGAAAACAACTATTTGAGCCGCATCATGACAAAACCAACATAGTGGGTTTGCCACCAGCATGGATCCAGACCACTGCGCATCCGAGCAGTCTGATCAGTATCCCTGCTGTTTGCTTACCAACTCTATTACAAGTAGAGAAACTGATAGCGAACAGCATGGATCCTGATCAGACTGCACGGATGCGCAGGCTGGTCTGGATCCATGCTGGTCGCAAACACACTATGTAGGTTTTGTCATGACGCGGCTCATTTAGTCTTTCAAGTTTTGTCAATGTTCATCTCAAGAAACATAAAACATTGAATGTTCTGAATGATTCCAAAAGTGCTGAATAGATGCTGAATAGAAATTATAACTTATGGAGGCTTACTTATTGCTGTTGAAAAACAACTGATCTCTGTTTTAACTATGTACAGCATTGTTTTAAAATGAAATTGTTTTTCATGTAAACAAATGAACAGAATTTGCAGCATATTTTAGCAGTTTATCTTACACCAATCCCTATCTATGTCCCTGCTCTACCCATGTTTAAACCATTTTATTATGAAGCCCTTTCCATACTTAAATATTTAAAACTCTCATTCATTCATTTCTGAAAGAGATTTTCCCTTTAATTGCCCTTGACTGTCAAATAACCATATATCAAGACACTTTACATTTGAAGTAACACCTACCTATTTGTATAGCAATACATTTTTCATCCTGCAGTTTCTTATCTTTTTGCAACAGTTTGTTGTCACATGGAAAAGCAAATGATTTGGCTACTGTTGCTAATGGCAACAACTGAAAGGACTGACCAGAGCATTTAACCCCAACATTATCCTGTCCCTCCTCTTCGAGTAGACCCTGGATGTTTGTGAAATATGGGCAACCATAATCAGCAACAGCCTGCAAGGATGCTACACCTCCTCCTGTCTTTTCCACAGACTTTTGAACAATCTCAAGTGCCTGAAGATCTATATCATCCTGTAAATAAAAGGAACCATTATAACTATAATGAAGACACTCGTGAAACATAAGACAGTTACAGGTGACTAGTACTGTCTTTCATCTCCTATCTATAGCTGAAAAAATTTTGCTTGTTAAGGCTATGTATGGGACAAACAGGTGCACACAATTAAGCATTTCAATATGTAAAGCTGTCTCAGTCAGCACAATGATTAACTGATCAGATGCTCCAAAGGTGTTCACTTTTATGGAACACTGTTTAATTGTAATATTGTGGTATTTAAAATTTTGTATGATTTTTGAAAAAAAAAATCAAAAGAAAGTTTATTGTTTACGAATATAAAGGAAAATATTCTGTTTTAAAACCTAGGTGACTCCGTTTAAATAGGTGTTACCATGTTTTGTTGGTTATTTGTTTGGTTATTTTACTGGATTAAATTAGATGCAACCAGTATAATACCAGTGGATTTTTATTCTCCATCTTTTGGGAATGAGTCTGGGGCCCTTTGAGTTGTGAAAAATAGTGCTAGATGCCATTATTTATGAACATATTCCTTTGTTATACTACTTAAATCTAGCTCGAAATCTTTAGTTCAAATACTAGTAAAGTGTTGTAATGACCAGCAACTTATCAAACAAAAATAAAGCCTATAGTTTAATGCCTCTGTTTCTAATACTTGTGTGTCATTGAGAATTTTGTCACTAACTACAAACATTTTTATGAATTTTCGTTAAACAATTCATAATAAAAAATTATACACATGTAGAGGTATACTTTTTGACTTTGTAAATGGGGCCTAAAATATTTCGACCCTAAAACTGCATGGAAAAAATCCCACTGAGTGAATACACACAAGAAGTGTGGCCTAAAGGCAATTCCCTAATTTTTTTACCCTTGTTGCAAAAATACTGTGTTATTTTCACCCAAGGTGACATTTAGCCTTTTCCCCTACCTGTAAAAAAAGCCCTCAATTAGGAAACACAGCATCATCCATTGCTGTGCCTGGAGTGATATATAACGAAAGGCACTATGATAAAGAAAACCAATTTGTCAATAGTATACTGTGAATGCAGGACATTTGCATCTAAGGACACTTGCCCCCTAGTCTAAAACTGTAACAATGGACATTTGCCCTTATATTGACTTCCATACATTAAAAGGAATATTTTGGAATCAAGTAAATATTTTTAGAACAATCATAAGATATGTTCTAGGCTGAATGTTTAAAATTAAAGGTGTGTCAAATGTTTTAGAAACATGTCATTTTTTATGTGCGTTCTTTAAATTAAGAATTTGATTGTACTTTGAGCTCAGTTACATTACAAATAAACACATTGTTACTGTCATTGTAAAATTGATTTTTAAGTTTATATCCTTTTTTTCCAGAGTTAAGTTAGCTAAGACCAGTCACACTTAAGACAATTATTGTTATAATTTAACTGTGGCGAATTGTGAAGTGGAGAATCATTTTATCATTACTTATTCACTGTACAAGAAGTGCATCTTAAAATATAACATTTAATAAAGATGTGTAGCAATTAATATGTGACTATAAATGTACAAAGGTGGATGGGTCATAACACCATTTTATTACCTGAATTGTGTCATTACAATGTGTATCTATCCAATATAAATTTAATTTGGCAATCTGGAAGAATTGTTCAAATAGAGTGTTAGGAAACAGTGAGTTCAAAAATATCTCTTCATCTAAGACTCTTTTTCCAGTGAAGCCTTTCAGTTGTTGAAAGTTTTTCGGGCAGTTTGTAAATAAGACAACTAAATGCCTTTTTTCACTGCAATCTTTTCTTAACTGTTTGCCTTTAATGGGTGACCAGAAGTCTTGAGACTCCCATTTAAAATCTGCAAGTATTTCAGTGAAAGCTTTGTTCAAGCTGTCAGCTGGCTTGAATCTTTTCGACGCTATCCCTTTCGTTGTGTCCACATTTTGAAATTTTCTCAGTAATTCGTTTTCAAATTCTTCAAAATGTCTTACTTTAAAATCATACAATTTGTGAGATTCTATCCGGGTGTGATGAGTTTTAGTATTAAAGAACTTATAACCCCATTTCAATTTCTGATAATTTTGTTTCGATTTTCTGGTCACACCGTTTTTGTCAAGATAGGAGGACAAATGACTTAACAACCGTATACAAGACAAGCAGATAGACTTTGTTAATACTGTTGATGATCTGACGTTGTTTTTTAAATCTGTATCGACAAGAAAAACTATTTGGACACTCATATTCATAAATTGTTTACAAAAATCACATTTTTGAAACTCCCGGAAATGGCAAATTTCACATTCGCACTAATAATACTCGTACTGCAGTTAGTTCGTACCACTGATGAACCGGCCAAGTCAACCCGGCCCCAAGTCAACCCGGCCGCAAATCAGCCCGGCCCCAAATTTGTCAACCCGGCCCCAAACCAATGTTATTTCTGTTAACCCGGCCCCATTTTTTTATTATTTATTTTGCTTTAAAATTTAAACACTTATCAATAAATAAAATAAAAATTCACAACAAAAACAACAACAAAAGTTCAACGATGATATCTTTGATAATTTATTTTATATAAAATCTCAACAAACAAGCAAATATATATTTTTTATGAAAATCATGGACTTAATAACGAAAAACAATGTCATTCATATGTTTGTTTAGTATTTACATGGATTTATTACAAAGGTAAAGTTTTTTTTGTCGGAAAACGGTAGCTATTATAAATATATGCACAATATCTTGTTGTCATATGATAACACGTTCATTTAGAAAAAAAGAATAAAAAGAATGCTAATAATGCTGGTAAATTTACTTAGATTAGAGAGAGTAATTTCATTTCTACTAGATAATATTCTCGCAAAACAATGGACGGTATCATATACAAGTTTGTATTGGATTTTATAGAACACTACAAGAGAGGACTGGAGTCTGCGGCTTTCTAGGGAAGGCCACCCAAGTTCATTTAGCATTTGGGTTACACTACTGTCGAAATTATAATTATTACAAACATATCTAGCCGCAGCTCGTTAGGGTACAAAAATAAAAAAAGAAATAATTCAAAACGAGATATGATTGACATAGTTCCATGAAAATAATGTTAAATGACCAAATTTTAAGGACAAACTTAATAATTGCAATACTTATTCATTTGGTAAATTTAAGCTACTAGATATGATGAATTTATAAGGTGTCATGTCTATTTACATTACCTCTTTTTGCTAAATTATTGAAAAGTCCTTGTTTTATTTCTCAGTATATGCAATCACTTTTTATAACAGTGTGCATACAATTATTGTAACAATATCTGCTAGGTGAGCGTCACATTTGTTCGCTGAACAGCAAATTGTGCCCGTAAAAATGTGCCCTAAAACTCTGGAAACCTAGAGGTATGCATGAGCCACAAAGACGGACGAATAAAAAGCAGTGAAAGTGATAGATGAGTAAAGGTATTGTACTGCAAAAATGAAGCTTTTTACAAAATATAATTAACTTCCGAAACGAATGTTGCACACAATTTCCTTCTTTTCCAAATGATCAGTGTCCTGTCCATTTCGCCATATACTCTCTGTGCGATTCTGCAAGCACTCTATCTGTATTGAAGAAATTGACACTTTTACCATGTTACAATTAGAAGCGTCCAAGCAAAAGATCATATATAACAGACAACAAGTCTAACATGTTGTTTAAAGAACGGCGCCCAAAATTGAAAACTGTTGCAATAGTAGGAATTAACCATTTTATTAAAACACCTGACATGGGTATCTGTAACTTTTTTTTACTTCTAAAAATGAAAAATACTTTCTTGAAAGAAAATTTTAATAGCCTAGAAGTTGTCTTGGCTTTACCATTCATTTATATTTGTCTCCAACATGAACCAAAAGGTATTTTATTTGCGTTTTAGGACTGTGTAAAAAATTTTGCAATAATGTGTTTCAGTAACATGGTAAATTAAGACTTGAAATCCAAGATTTGCAGGATAGGTCATATTCTACTTTATAATTCTTCTTGTACAGTAAAGAGGATACTAAAAAAAGCTCTTGTTAAGACCCTATAAGTTCTGCGCTATTCTTGGGGAGACCCTAAGATGTGCAAATTATTCAGAAAAAGAATTCTAAAATTTAAAAAATGGAGAAATTTTCATCATTTCTCATAAAAAATAATAATTCTTCACCGTTTGACCATAATACAGAAAAGGCTTAAGGATGTTCAGTTAATCCATTCATTCCGGAAGGACATGAATGATTTCTTAATTGCCCCTCCTTGGTACCCACGAGCGAACCTTTGTTAAACCTTACCAACAATTATAATATTTACACACATGTTTGTACATGTTGTAATAATATAGTGTGTAAATTCTGCAAGATGTCCATTTGGAGAGATATGCTGTGGAGGAAACCTGATGATTCATACAGTGTAGAATTACGGCCTGTATGCAAGTGTGGTATTGCTTTGAAAGTTGTACATCATACTGGTTGTACAACTAAATCCTACCGTCTGCCGAGGTGCGATCACATTTCAAAACTTTTTGTAAAACCCTTAAATGATACAGAAAAATTCTAAAGTTTTGATTGCATACAAATGTGTTATATTGTATGTTTCAACAATGATTGGTATTTCATATCCGTGCGATTTAAAAGGAATAAAATATCTCTAAATGTTTGTATTATATTAATATGTTTGGTCTTGATCGACTTAAAAGTAATCTTAAGTATTTAACGTTTTTTTTATTGTTTTTGGTTCGACATGGATATTTTATAATGTTTCACTTGATATTCTGGGGATTCACAGTTGTCTTGACTGAATTCTGTGGACTAGTCGATTTGAAATAATTCAGGTGCGTCTATGTCATCTTAAACGATTTGGACACATTTAGCGATTTAATGTGATGTGGACATGACCAATAGTATCACCTGCATATATAGTCTCAAAATACCTTAAACACTTTCAAGGAGGTTATTTATATAGAAGAGGAAAAGGGAGCTGGAGTTAAGGAAAGAGAAGACATTTAGTACCTTTATTGAAAATTAATACAGGTCTACTATAACCTGTGTCGTTTACACACAAGTTTTGGATGATATTATTAAACGCCTTGATGAATTCCATGACTGTAATATCAGGTTGCTGGCCACTTACAAGATTAACATTTATTTCCTGGGCGAGTTGTGAACTTCATCAAGGCTATATTCATGACTGCACATACTGCAATACTTAAGATACAGTCATATCTAACAGTCATGAAATATACCAAACTGTATATGTATAATTAAAAACAGCACACCATAGATTGGAACATTATATTGTATCAAAGTTGATAACTTATTTTCTTTTTGACATTAAATGAGTAAATTAGACGTTTGAAATTAGACATAATCCGGCATTACCCATTTCAGCGCGTTATAGTTTTTATTAGAAAATGTAGTACATTATAACCAAAGAGTAGCTTTCCGCTTAAAAAGATCTTTTTCGTTAATTATGCCGATTTATTTAAACGGTGTTGACACTAAAAGTTTCCGCTCAAAGTTGTTTACAGTGGAAACGATTTTTAAAAATATCATGTTTACACAAATTTTAAGGTATGATGTGTTTGAAAAGATTTAAATTATGTAATAAATCTTATATAAGGCAATTATTTACTCATAAGACTTTTTTACATCTACTCAATATTTTTTACAAGGCATCAGTAAAAATGTCAAGACGTGTTCCTGCATGAACATTCAAATTCAAATTGATAATTTTCATATACATGAAAAAAAATTGATATATATCGTGTACATGTAGCTCTTTTCATATTCTTAATAGCTTATACAGTTTTTAGGTAGTAGCGGATTTAAGGGTATAGCGGAGGTAATGTAACGATTCGCCACACTAACGATTCGCCACATAACGATTCGACACAGAGTATTAACGATTCGCCACAGTTAAATAACGATTCGCCACGTGTTCAAATACGAACTTTTTCACACCTGTTTTCAAACTGTTGATGGCAAACTTTTTTACATTCTATATTTCATTTGTTAATTACATAAATTAATTATATTAAAAACAGCTTTTATTGAATAAAAACACATAAAAACCAAATATTTTTTTTTACCAAAATTACATTACACATTGTAGATAAGTTAAACTTTGTTATTTATGTAAACTGGAAAATTATGCGAAAACAGCTTTTATTGAATAAAGACACATGATAACAAACATATTTTATTACAAAATTTACAAACACAGTGTAAATATGTTTACATTTTTTTAAATTTTAACGTGGAAAAGAATACTAAATCAGCTGTTATTGAATAGAAACACATAAATACATCATGTAGTTAAATATAAGATTGTTAATATATCTGTGAAAACATATTTAATTAGATCTACCAAAATTACAAAAAGTTTGTTATTTCTATAGTCAGAAAAAAATACAAACATATCCTTTTTTTATAATATCTTTTTTATTATTACTATCTTAATATTTTTTTTATTTCCAAAATAACATAACACATTGTTAACAAAACAAAGTGACAAAAACTACATGTAGTAGTATCCAATTGTGAGGGAACTCTTATGCACAGTTGTTCACCTTGTTAGAGAATTAAAGGATTATTTCGGCGTTTATTAAATATTTCTACAACAATCCTAAGGTAAAAGGTGTGAAAAATGTTCTAGATATGCGTTCTTTAATCAATTTTCGTAAAAAAACACATGTTTTTACAATACACATGTACCCCTTCCCCCTTTTTGAAATATTTGACACAGATATATTTAGCTCCATGATATATATAAAGATAAATATTAATTGTCATATATGTTTACGATTAATTCAATATTTATTTCAACATATAATTACTTTCTTATAATTGTACTCCTGCAATAATGTTACTTTGATAAATTGAAAATCCGCGATGGGGGCCTTAACTTCATATTACTTGTATTAAGCAACAATATTAAATTATTGTCATTGTCAAATTATTAAAAAAAGAAAAAAGTTTGTTGATTACTAAAAAAATCATTGTTATAATCATATTGTGGCGAATCGTTATTAACTGTGGCGAATCGTTATTACTCTGTGGCGAATCGTTATGTGTCGAATGGTTAGTGTGGCGAATCGTTACTAATTCATAGCGGATAGCTTGTCAGCTAAATTGCTCTTTCTGATCCACAGTTTCTTTTTAATATTAAACAATAATATTTGATTATTTCAATTGAAAGAGTGGTAGATTCTATTTTCTCCATTTACAGCTAATTTGTTTCATTTTTTAAAATTTCTTTGCGAGTTTTTCTTACTCTAACCAGAACCATAGGAACTCGAGAACGGGACCGCAGATTGCGGCGTATATTTTCAATCGTGTAACGGTTTTTAAAAACGTTTCTGCTACATCTAAATATCTTTTAGTATTATCCGAGTGTATGGACTCAAAAAATATATTATCAATTGAACCCAATCTGTCTCTTTTAAAACTGGTCAAATACGGTATTATAAAAAAAGACAAGGAGTGACATCCGTCATTTGCCGCAACGTTTTCGGCATGAGTTTTTCCCCTTTGGCTACAATTGATTACTATTTTTTCAGAATTTTGTTCCCGTTATTTTTGTCAACTATCGGGTATCGTCCGGATATAACGTTAACGGTTTATTGTTTACACGTGTTGACATGTATAGGCGGCATTATAACGGGCGTATTCGTGTATTGATTTGTTAACATGGAGAAACACTTTAGTAATATGGTCCAACTGATTTTGCCTAACTGAAAAAAGGAATATTAAAACATGATTCCATAGATAAATATTTTAGGCACTCATCTCGTATTCATTACTAGAAAAATTAAAACAAAAATCAAGCATATCAAGGGGGATAACTTACGCCGAACGTTGCGGCAAATGGCGGATGTCACTCCTTTTCTTTTTTCAATATACCGTAAATTTGACTGATTTTTAAATTAGCAGATTATATTAAATTGAGATTAGATAATTAAAGACCACCCGCTCGCATAATATGAAAAGATATTCAAAGGTCGGACAAATTATATGTAAAGCCGGTAAGGATTCGGATTTATGCGCTGCAATATGCGGTCCTGTTCCAGAGTTCCTATGACCAGAACTAGTAATCTAGAATTTTACGCATTGCAGTGTTTTTCAAGCCGTTTAAAAAATACAAACAAACAAGATATTGGTCAACAGCAGGTAAAGCAATAATTAAATATTGTCTTGTTTTGGTGCATGAAACATTTTAATTATCATTTCTAACAAAATTTGCCTATAAGACATATATTGTCATTGAATATAATAAAAAATAATCAGCAAGTGTTTTTGTCAGTAATGGATTTTACATGTCTATGTCGCAGGGTTAAATATTTCTGGCTTTGGGGGTCACAGAAACAAACTCTGGGCGTAGGTTCGGTATTTCATGAATCCAAATAATATGGCCTAAAAATATAATAAAATCATTATACATCTTACAAATACAATGCATATAAAAACAAAATAAAATGAAATAACAATATATACACAATCGACAAGGAATAAGAAAATACAAAAATACATACATAAGATATACAATCAATATCTTAGTTTTAATATTATTTCTTACCACAGCATCTGTATCAAGATATTTACTTATAGAAATTATTTCAATATAAATTGAAATAAAGTAAATGTAGATCTAGATAATAACAAAAGAATTACTAAACGTCTGACTCGTAAGAGATGACTGTAAAGAGTGAGCGGGAAGGAAAACCCAATTAGTGCACAGAAGTAAAGAATATTTAAAAGAACCAATGGATATCTCCCTCACATTCCTGGGGTCACAATTGGCCCCGTCCTAGGGTGTCATTGATTTTCCTTACATCTATATAGGGAAAACAAACAAAAAAAGTCTATTTCTTTAAATGCCAAAAAGCTAGAGCTAAGATATTTAGCATGAAATATATTCTAGTGGGTGTCTACTAAGTTTGTTCAAATGAAAACCCATGTATGCATTACAATGGCTTAACTATCTTCCTATAATAAAATAAAGTTTTGCATTCATACCAAGAAAAAAGATAAGATTTTTAATTATTATCTTTGAATTTATGATGACTAAATATATCAAGAAAATATTTATATAATAAAAAGTAAATGTCTAAATCTGCTTTTGGGTTACTCATTATACACATTCTTGATATGTGCTCTAATGTATTTTAAATTTTACCAGTTTGGAGTATTCTCATTATTAGTATAATACAAAATTGAAAAAGAAACAGCTTTGCCACTTTTAGGCTAAAATTTCATCCAAATTCGCCTGTAAAAACCTAAAAATGTCAGTCATGCATACAGAATCTGTCCGAGTTGCATAATCTTATCAGTCAGTCATGTTTGAAAGATATGGCCATTTATTTTGGCACCAACACCTTACTGTTCTCCAAGGACCATGATGCATATAATGGTCCCATTGGCCTCCCGTGCATCATAATAGTATCACCACAAAAATCAAATTCCATACACATTGCTAATGACTGTAGAAAAGATTTCATGATCAATCACAATGAAAGTGCTCTGCACCGTCTAACCCAAGATTCAAAGCAGACTGTGAGTGACTTCCATAGCAAACATTAACTTTCCATTATAGCAACAAATGAATCTACCATTGAATTTCATAGCAGTCTCTGATTTCCAAGTGAACCATTTTTTGTATAGCAACTAGTGACTGTTTGAAAATGTAACTGTTGTTTCCCCTTAGCACTAGCAACCAGTAATGTTTTTACATGTGCACTATTTCAAATACAAATATGAACTTTGTGATATCAGTTTTAGATTAAGATTTTATATCTGCTTTCGTTTATAGTTTACAATATTACTTGTTCCTAATGTCAAAGAGAATATTGATAATATGCAGGTGAGCGATATTAGGGCCACCTTAGCCCTCTTGTTTACTATTCTATTACAAAATTTATTTTTAGCTGGACTTTTCAAAGATAATATTTCCGATATATTGAATCGTATGATCAGTATATCTCAGATTGAATCTGTCAATTGTTCTAGTGTCCTAATCTGAAGGCAGGTGCTCTTATTGCTTAGATAACATTTTTTTTTTCATTACAAGGAATATATTATTGTCTAACGAGACCACTTTCATGTTTTGTAAAAACAATTTATGGCCACTTACTGTGTCAAGTGGATTTGTTGATGTCCTTGTTTGTCTTTGTGAGAATTAATGGCTACTTCAGATGTACAAGGTATTGTAAATGGTGATAAATTTTAGAATGAATAAAGAATGTGTGGATTGTGTTATACCTAATACATTGTATAAAATGTAGCTATTGCTGTTCTTTCATGTGACAAACTGAAGTGTCTATTGCTTTTTTTCTCCTCTAAATACTTGTAATATGTAACTTTCTTAAGAGTATATCAAGAATTTTTTTCATAGTGTGACTGTGTCTTTTTTTATGAATCGTCTTCTTCCAACAAATTTTCTCTTTATTAAAAGGTATGAAAACCAATATTGTATTAAAGGTTAAGGTGTTTTGTTTTCCTTTTTAAATGGGCCATATAAAGGGACCAGTTCCCGATTTAAATTGCTATGAAATATGCTGAAAACTTAAGGACAAATCTTGCTGTTTTGCCTGCCCACAACTCTCTGAATTCAATCTTCAGTAAAGGCAACTTAAATCTTATTCATAAAGCATACAATGAAAAACTTGTTTTGGGGTTGGCAATACATAGTTTTAACCATATTCTTCAAACTGTGCCATTTTAACCATATTCTTCAAACTGTGCCATTTATACTTTGTTTATCATTACCAAGAAATAAATGTTGGAAATCAGTAACACTCTTGACAGCATAAGGCAGCATTTTGCAGGTTAAGTTACGATCATACTTAACTACTGGGCATACAACATTTAAAGGAAAGTATTAAACATGTAAATTGTTGGTGGTAATCTCAGTGCTCATTTTTCTGTAAATCAAAGTGCATCCATCAACTCAGGAACTTCAATATCATTATGTAGATGCACCTTGATGAGTTCTACCCACTATATCAATAGGTCATGGTCAATTTGACCCTTAATCTCTTCAATTAGAAAATATGCAATTAACTATTTAGCATTGAAGAAAGTGGAGCATGCTGCTTATTTGGACAGCTCTTGTTTGTAATTGTTGCCAATACATTGTTTTTAAAGAAATCCGTGAACAAATTCATGATCAGGCATGTTATTTTCCTTTTTTTACTTGCAACATTTAATGTTGAAAAATCAACATTTTCGGCTTAATGGGTATTTTCAAATGTTTGATTACGGATTACATCCTTTGAAAACATTGATCGTACAGATTTTATTAATACGGAGGTTTATAAATAGGCTGGCCAAATAATCCATCAGATCGTGTCTTATCACAAGAGTGCTTTAATAAATTATGATAAGGTACGGCTGTAATCTCAATTTTATTTGTGTTTGTGTTGTAAACTTTACTTCCCAATTAGAAAAGAATAGGTGTATCACATAAGACTGTTTGCACACCTTTTGTCAGGTGGTTGAATTAGAGGGAATTATATGCACTTGTGTGAAATGAAATTTAAACAGTTTATGAAGAAAAAAATAGTTTTTAACATTTTTTGATGATTTTTTTATTGATAAGGATTTTTTGTCATGTTTGGGATTTATAATGGTGCAACCTAAATATTATTTTTAATTCTTTAGGAGTAATATTTTGTTCTATGCTAAGGACTATTACTTATTTAAATTTATTTATTCAATGTTTTAAAATTATGCTTTTTTTTCAGATTATCTTTTGAAGGGTAATGCATCTCTGTCCTGATCAACTGTGAATTCTATAGAGGACTATTATAAAATGGCATCAATGCATCTACCTAGCACTCTGGGTGCTCCAACATCTCAGTACAAAATACAGTGCAATTCTGGTTCAGTATTAATTGGAGATCGAGAGTTCTTGTCAGCCACTGATGCTCTTGAAGCCTACCTAAGCCAGTATGAAAACCAAGGTTTCTTCAGCAATCAACCGACATATAAGAGAACAGTTAATGATTTACTGAATCCGAAATCAGCACTGCATATGACTGCGGAACGCTCGTTAGAGACAGGGATTCGAGCTACAGATAAAGAGCTTCATTTAGCAGATCAAAAAGATAGCATCAATGAGTCTCTTCTAAATATGAAGAAATCTGTGGCCTTGAAAGCAGAAGGTATGAAGACTTGTTTGCATTTATCTCATTTGAGGTGTGTTTTGCTATTAAATATGTACAGACTTTTAGCAGATTTTTTGTAGCACTTTAATGACAAAATATAATAATTTCTGTGTGCATTTCTATGCTAGTTAGTTTAGAAGTGAAAGTAATTTATTAATAGATTATTTGCATCTCTTGCTTTGTGTGGACTTATATTAAACTAGAAATTTAAAACAACTTTCAGTACCAAATAAACGTAAAGTTTTCAAGAATTTTGTACATCAGAAAAAAATAAAAAAATGGTATACCAAAAATAACTGTTTTCAAGTATCCAAAAAATTTTAGCATGCATTTTTAATGCAAGAAATCCTGCAGATAGATTTTTTTAATCTGTTTAAGTAAAAGAATGTTTTCATGGATCATTGACAAGCCTGTAAACTGTAAATGAGACATCTCCAAATTGTTGAAATTTGAAAGCTCTGATATAAGTTTAGAGTTTAGAATTTATTTACTTGACTTTTTTGACGGATAGTGACATAAAATTATACATTGTAAATACAATGTAAATTAGATTAAAAATACTCTTACTTTGAAGTGCTGAAATCAAGGAGGAAAATCTTTAGTTTGACTATTCAAAGCATTGGGAGAACAATTGTACACTGAGGCGTCAATGTCAACTTTTGGTTAAGTTTTTGTGTAAAAGTTTGTAGCTCCAAAACTATTGAAGGGAATAGGTTGAAATTTCACACACTTATTTGAGGATATAATTGGAGATAACTCCTAAAGGCCCATAACTCTAACATGGATTTTGACAGAATTATGGTCCTTTTGAAATTCTACATTATCTACGCTCTTGTTTTACCATTAAGCACTGAGAAAAGTTGAGCATGTTGTCCTACTGACAGCTCTTGTTATATAACAGTGTGGCATTTTGTGTTTTCTTTGCTTTTATTCTTTTTTGCATAGATGATTTTCATGCTTCCCAAAAGGAGGACATTATAGTCGCCGCATTGTCCATCCTAGCTCCGCCCTTCCAGGGTATTTTAACTAAATAGGGAGTCATCTTACTGTAAACAAACTAAAAGAGAACAGTATCATACTTTATTTAGTAACAATAGAAAAAGTTTTCATGGCTGGTTTACTGGGGTCAAAGTCACCAGTGCTACACTTTTGCTCTTACTGCCTTTATTTATTGACTGATTTGCATAGAAATACATTTACAGATGTGCAGGTTCGAGGAGCATACATCGCCTTAAGTGATATTCTTGTTTAATGTGTGCCAGTAGCTTTTATTTGTACTTTTCTTTTCTAATAATAAGCAGAATTTACAAGAGGCATTGTAACTGTGCCATTAATTTACTGAATTTTACTGAATGCTTGAGGCAGTTATCAATTAGAACTATGCCATCAGTATAAAACAAAGATAGAAATTAACTTCTTAAAATTTCATATATCAACATTCAACAAGACAACTCCAAATTTTAAACGGGATAAGTATATTATACAAAATTTAAGTTTCAAACAATTTATTTTTTCTGGACTTGACAGAAGATGCTAGTGACTTGTAAATTCTGCTTATTATTATTATTATTAATTATCTGCTTTTTGAGTGATCTTTAGATTCTTTTGTTTTGATTATTTTTGTAGCAAAGAAAAACTATTACCGTAAACAGAGAGAAAGAGGTAAGTAAATGCACTACAGAGAAATTAAATACTGCTGTAAATATGATGACAGAACAACACACTATTTTTTAGGTACATTTTACATGTATAAGGGGAGATATTAGGTGTTTTGACCAAGGGTTCATGCTAGCTCAAATAATCTTTTTCAGTTATCTGATATACAAATAGACTTAAGAGAATTTAAATTGTTTAGAAAATCAGGCTTCTGATGAGCCATCTTACTAAAAGTTAAAAAAAACAACAGTTTTTTTCCCCCCAAAAGTTGAGAAAGTTCGATTTTTTAGGCTGCTGTTGGGATTTTGTTTTGAAATTCGAAAAAAAAATGCCATTTTGAATTTGGCCTGATGATAGGGTGAAAATGCCTAAAATGCCTAAGAACATAAATCATGCAGTTACATGTATTTTACTAATTGTAAACATTGTACATTTATACATATAGACTTTTTCTTCTTCAAACCAATGAGGATTAGAGATGAAATAAATGGGGATTACATTGATGAAACAAAAATATATGGTACTTTGAAAATAATATATAAAGATTGATCACCTTTGCTTATCAGTGTCAACATATGTCTGTTTTGATTTATTTTTATCTAAAAAAACTGATACAATATCAAAATCAATGAGAAAATAAATCTGTCTGTAAATATTGATGATTTAACACTAGAAGATAAATGATCAAAATAGTTTTGATATAGCTGTATATCTGGTCTATAGTAGTAGTATGCAAACTTGCTTAATCTGCTTTGCTTGATGTTTATAGTTTTACTTGCACCTAAAGTTTTGTAGTTGTCACTACTAAGGGTTTAAATCCCATTGGATACTTTTGATGTTTTTTTTTCCATGTGTGCAAGCTGTCCTATAATCCAACTACCTGCAAAAGGTTGGTGTAACTACTGAGGTATCAACTTATGTAAGAAATAATGTCAAGATTGTCTACCTCAGTTCTTCCTTCACCAGTCAATCTAGAAAGTCTCAAAATGATATTTACATTTTACAGTGTTCCAAACCATGATACATGCATACAAAATAGTTTTAATAGTTTTAAGAACTCATTCACATTTGGTAATGATTTTTCTCTCTTTCAAAAATTACCCATCCCCACCCTACCAGAAATCTTCCAGATCAAGGTCACACAAGTTGAAATAACTTTCATGTACATGTATTATATCTTGATGGATTTTGAAATTACACTATACATATGTATTCTGTTAAAGTTATAATATTAATGTTCATGAAATCTTTGAGTTAAGCTTTTGCCAAGTTATTGAGAAAAATACTAACATGTATATGGAAATGAAACTATGCATTAATGTGCATGATTTAATATTAAAACCTGTATATATTGCTGCACACCCTTTAATTAAACATGTTGAATTTTTTTATTCCTGCTGTGAACTGAAGCACCCTTAAATTTTGAGTTGAAAATTCTTTTTGTAAATAAAGAATCTCTTCAAAAGATTTTTATGGCCTTATATTTAAATTTAAACCCATATATTTTACATTATTTTAAGATATGAAGATTTATTACCCATTCTTGAGTTGGATGCACTTAATGTTTAACCCAATATCTTTTCACTGTGTGTTGCGGTGATAGACATGAATTGAGATAAAACATGTTTTTTAAGTGAAACAAAAAATTCAGTCCTTATATTACATTTTTTAAGCGATATTCTTATTGTAAATCTAAAACAGAGAGAAGTTCAAATTAAATGTGTAGCAGTTGGAAAAAAAATTGGAAAATTGCAATAGTTTTGATAATAAAGTAATTTAAGATTCCTGCACTTATGTACTGACTGGCCTGGCACTATTCTATCTCTATGATGGTTCGTTACCGGGTATTATGCTATCAATAATATCACTGAAAGCTTGTAAAACTTGTTTGCTGTTATACAAAATAACAGACATGACAGTGTCTATGATTAAAATTATTAAAGCAAATAAATATGATTATCATATGTATATTCTTGTGGTTAGTGATCAATATCTAGATACTTGTACAACTTTTTAGCTCACCTGAGCACAATGTGATCAAGAGCTTAATAATTGCTCAAATAGTTCAGGTCTGCTAAGCAAAATTGCTGCCAGAGCTAACTATAGGAAATTATTTAAACAACTGATGATCTCCTCCATCCCATGCTCACAAAAATTTCAAAAATTGATGTTTCTACCAATGTCTTAAGAATGCAATCTATTTCATTTGAACCATCTACCTGGATTAGGGATTGAGGGCCATCATGGCACTCATGTTTGCATTTAAATTATGTTCCACTGAGGTCCAAAACCCTAAAAAAAAACTGTTACTTCAATCAACTGATTTATTTAAAACAGAACAAAAGTGAAAAAGATAATGAAGAAATACGCTTGCATGAAATTGTTTTTCTAGTAGAAATGAAGACAGTGATTAAGATCTGAAATTTTGCTGCTGGTAAAGGCCTACTTTAAGATTAATGGTATAAAGATTTTAGAAAAAATACTTCCAGTTATGTCATGTAAAAAAACTCACTGGAATTCCTATAATAGTGACACTATCCTGTTATTCATTTTGCTTATGTTGTTATGCAATTCAATTGATTTTGTCATTTAAACATGTTTTTATGTTTATAAACACATACATTTTTTTATCATTATAATTTTGTAATATTGATTTTTATAATTTTATTTGCTCTTATTTGTAATCATAAATTCTAGAATAAAGTAAGTTACTGTTATAAGTTGATGAACATGTTGATGATCATGTTGCCTATATTTTTGACAAGCAAGTAATATTTCTTTTCCCTCTCTCTATAGTTCAGGAAGCACTGGACAAGTCACAGGAATTGATACGTCAAATCAACACTGATGAGTTCAACAATAAAACCGATGTTCCGAGCGAAGTCGGTAGCCTGGCTACAGATGTTCTGGTTTCCATGAACCCAGTTGAAGGCTATAATGTTACAGGGGAAGAGGGAACAAGTATGTTACCATCGTGGAAAAGCAAACACGTGTTTGGCTATAAGCGACCAAGAAATCGTCGGTCAAAAACACTGAGTAGTATACAGATTGCCCATGATATGATGGGATTAAATGCTGATCATCCACAACAGAGCTTCACGGCTCAACCAAATGGTAATTAATTGTTAAATTTAAACATATTTATTTAAGCTCAATTGCGAAACAAGTTATATTAATCACTTTCGAGTCCGCTTCCTGGAACCAACCAGTACTGGTGTCTTATGAAGAAACATGGTCGTGACCCAAGTAGGGCTCAAACCCATGATCTCTGGGTTGAGAAGCGGACACCTTAACCACTAGGCCACCACTCCCCTTTGTTAAATTTGGTTAATCTATTGATATTTAAAGAGTGGACCAAACCCTTGAAGTGCAACTAATTTTATAAAGATGTATAGGCCAGCTGACACAACTTTGTAGTCTGACTTTATATTATATCACATTATTAAAACAGGCAAGTCATTACTGTAATTCAACGATTCAATGATGTGAAATCTATTATAATAATTAATGCTCTTAATGTGGGGGATATGGGAAACTTGTCTTCATTAAAGAACCTAGATTCTGATATTTTTAACTTACAATGTTCAATGGTTCTATTGTTGTTGAATTTAATAATGCAAAGTTATTACTTTTTTAATAACTGTTTTAAATGAAACACTTGAAATTTAGATATGATTTAAAGCTGTTTGTATATGATGTTTATAAATGTGTTTCAGTTGTGAAAATATTTCATTTTCAAGAATTTATTTGAGATTTATGTTTTCTAATTACTTTTTCAATTTACTAAAGTTATTTAAAATGATATTACACCCATATAGTTACTGCTAAAAAGATTCACTTCTCTCGCATGTTATTTTATCTTTAATTGCCTTGGTCATGTTGTTGATTGATTATGATAATGAATTGTTTGTTGTTTGTTTTTTTTCACATAATTTAAAAAAAATTATGTTACAGAAAAAACTCCTGCACATGTGACATTCCACGATGCTGATGTATCAATTGGCCATTCAAAAAGAGAGACCAGTAAATATGACGATGATGTTTCCCTGTTACTAGGAGAGTCTCCAAACACTTCTCGTTTATCGAGGTCACCGGCTAAAACTCTTCGTGAAAGAAGCCGATCTGTGTCTCCTTCAATCCTGAAAAGAGAAAGAAAAATGTTTGAATCGGGACTAAGAGATAAACCTATACCTGATTTCTACACTGATTTTAATACTTCAACTCAGAAGGCTCCAAGCTGGATAGATACAATGAATACATCTGATATGTCAGACACTGATTGGAAAAAACGTGATTTTACTGTATCAAAACCACCACCAAGCTGGGTGAATGACATTGATAATTCTGATATTACAAGTGTTATTTCGGCACCAAAACCAAGTAAAAAGCTAGAATTTCATGACTTATTACGACCACTCCCTGTGATTAATACTCAAAATCATTCAAATTCATATAACAGTGATGCCAATGATACTCTGCCACCTCCTGGTCTAACATATAAAGATCTTGTAGGGGACACTCCAAACCTTAAAACCAGTAATACTCGAAATCAGGGTCGGTCAGACTCACCAACATTGTCTGATAAGCTCAGCCATCTAAAATCTAAAACTGATGCTGCCATGCAAAGATATCACGAAAGAATGCAGTCAGATATAAATCTGGACACCCCATCAAAGGGAAGTAACCCATACTCTGGTGATGTTCCCCGTTGTTCAAGTTTAGACACAGCAGCGTTGATAGCGGGAATCCCTCCACCAGGAAATTGTGACATAAGTGGAGCTTCACCTATAAAAGCCAGTTAGTATAAGTATTATTGTGATACTTCTTGTAAAAGTACTGCTAAATTGTATTCAATCTCTAGCAATAGAACTTGAAAGTGAAAGTTCTAATGATGTAGGACTTTTGAAAAAAGAAAAGAGGTTTTCTAAACTTATGTAAAAATTGATATTTACAATTCTTAATATACAATTTTTAGCTTGACATATTCAAAACATATTCATAGGTATCTCCATTTTCCTGGTTGTCTTAATCAGCATCCATGCAGCATCACCTTTATAGTTTTTGTACCACCTCATTTTCACAGACCTATTTGAATTTTGAAATACTTTTTAACTTGCCCTAGAGATTTATACTTCCATGAATGTTTGACAAAAATATCATCCTTATTTAACTTGAGATTTTATTTGAGGTTTTACCTCCTGATTTCTACTATTTCTTTTGAGAAAATACTTTCATGTGTTGAATACTTTTTAAGGCCTTAACTCACATTTCTGGGTAAGAGCACATACTTTTCTCTTAGCTTTCAATATTATGATGTCCTGTTTTCAACTTAGTCCACCTTTAATTACATGAAGACACAACTATTCCATGCATAAAGGCACACACATCTAATATAAAAATAATAAGGCCTTTTTTGAAGAATTTATCGTAATTCATAACCATGCAGTGCACTTCTAATTTTATTTCACGGAAGTGGTGAATATTGGCTTATATTATAAAGATAGTTGTTTTTCTAAGACAGATGTTTGAAATTGTTATTTTAACTTTCAGGAGACAATGATAGCACTATAACAGGAGCTGGAAGTCCAGGAAAAGGCCGCAGAACCCCTGATACTGATATTGTTCTAGAAGGGGACAGACCCTGGGAGAAAGTGGTGCCATTGTGAGTATCTTGATATCTTCCTTAAAATATTTCTTAAGTCAGTCACCTTCGAGCATATCAATATTCCTGGTATATGAGAAGAGGTTTAAAGATTTAATAAGGTCAAGTTTTTTGGAACTTACAAAAATAATTTACAGAGAACATAGGTCATAAGGAGAGGGTGCTTTCAAAAAATTGATTAAAATATCAACTAAAAGTTTTGTACTATTGTAACATACAGGGTATTTGTCCCACTTTAAAGAAGAAAGAGAACACATAAAACAACAGTATCTTCTTGAGTGTAAAGTTTAGAGCATCCAACAAATGTGCTAAAAAGAGAAAATTTCTGAAATAGATACATTTTAATATGTTATTCACTTATATTCATATTTGTATCACAGACCAGAACTGTACACTATTTATGAGAAAAATGTGACAATTGCTATATACAGAGTAAAGTTAAATTTTGTTAATGATGAACCATTGTCGTTTTGATTGTTGTTTGAAATGTTCATGAACTTATAATGTGATTTTGTTATAATTGTAGCAAAGCTCCGGTGTCTGTGACCAAGAAAAATAAAGGTGACGCTAATGACGAGGTAAGAAAAAATTGTAAAGCATACCACAGAACTTTCAGATTAAAGATGAGGAGTTGTATGTTTTTATACAGTGTACATATCAAAATTTATGTACTAGTAATTATTTGTAAATTATAAAATGACAATCTTGAGTTTTTGATGAGTCATAACCATACTGTGGATTTCTGGGTTTATAATTTTTGACAAGTCTAGTAAAGAATTGTAATTCATGTGATTTACAGTCTAATAATGGACAGAAATTAATAAATCTCCTCCTTGCTGGTGTGTCTAGATATTTTCATCAGCTTTACATGCTCTTTAAAAGTAATTACCACTTCCCCCTTGTAATTCATTCAAATTTGATAATGACCTCACAATATATTATTTATTTACTTCAGTTATGATTAAAAACATGTGTAGTATTCTGTTCACATATCCAATATTGTGCTTTATCCTATTGGGAAAATCAGGGCCTACTTATTGGCTAAATGTCAGAATTGAATAAATAAAAACCAGAAATAATTTCAAGGAAGTTTGAGGGTCATTAAAAAGTAGTTTTTAATTCCCTTTATAAAAATATGAATAATAACTGAAAGATATGCAAATATTTTTTTAACATTCAAAAATGATAAGCATGATCTGAAACATATGCAATGTTCTAGTTCTTTTGTACGATTAAATGAACAAAAAAATGAAAAATATGCAAATTTTAGTTCTTTGAATTAAAATAAAATATTATCTAAAAAGATAGGCAAACATTTTTTTTGTTTGAAAATATGAGACATCACTTTATATGTATAACAATTTTTGCAGCAAAATTATTCTGGTGGATCTCAGCCTGGTAGTTTGGAGGCATTAAAGAACATGATATTTAAGTTACAACAAGAGGCTGTACACACAGACAGTGAGGATGAAGGTTCCAGATCTAAGCTTTCAGAGAGGGTAAGTAATTAGTACATGTAATTACTGACATGTTTAAAAACCAATTTATGTATGCAGAGTTGGACTGGGGTTTGTGATGGTTCAAACATAATATGTCATTCATAGACTTTAGCGAAATCCAAATTTTGTCCACTTGTTGCCTCAGCAGTCTTATGTGCTTAAGGTATTTAATAGTTCAAGCAAGCTTCTTTTTTCCTCATGTTATCTTCAATATATAGGATACAGAAAAATGATGAACTTGCATGTATGCTGTGACCTCAACATGGGAAATATTTCGATAAGGCCTAGTTGTAAATCTTTTTTGTTTTTAAATAATCCTTTATTAAATATACTGAAAAGGGAAAGAATTCAAAAACCTTCCCGGCAAGATTCTACCCGGGCATTTTTTGAAAAAAGGGGGATTTTTTTAAAAAAATTTTGTAGTTTTTCCCCATTTTAGGTGTCAAAAGTTTCTTTATACATTTTTTTTTGTTTTGTTTTTTTGGATTGTCAAAAAAGGCCCTATCTGCCCCAAAACCCATCCTCTGTTTTTTCTCCGGATCCCATTGAAATTTATATATGTAATGTTAAATTATTTTAAAAAAATATCTTTAAAATTCGTACATATGTAATTTTTTAATTAATTGAAGGTACACAATTGGGGGGGCAGAAGCAGCCATTTTTAGGTATTCAGGTGCCAGTAGATACGCAGACAGATAAAGCTCCTGGAGATATACCATCACTGAAAGGTTATGACTTTCATGGAGAACCAGGAGGGCAATCTCTAGAAAAGTTAGTATATCTTTAGGCTAGACAGTGTTGTCCATAAGTCATAGACACTTTCAGAATCATAGCAATATATACTGCAATATTTACTGCAAGTTACCAGTTCTTTTGCCAAGACATGAAAAAATAAAAATGCTTTAAAATCACTTTAAGAGAGCTGAAATGTTGTCTTTTTACAAGTTTTTGCCGCCTTCTGTAACACCAAAGGAGAGCACTGGAGTTGCCTTATAATTATAATGTTACACCCAGGGCATTCTTATCATATTTCAAAACTTATTACTGTAGTATAAAATATTTAGGATAACAGTTTTGTTTAGATTATAAGTGTACAGTAAAACCTGCCCATGCCCAAGGAAATCAATCATAGATGGACAATTATGTGTAATGACTGTATGTCACACTATTAAAGATGGTAATGTAATAGAATTTCTTAAGTAGGTTAAATAAGAAAGATGACCATTACCTATAAGTGCAAACATGTGTTCAGCTCTTTCTTTAGAACATGTCAGTTGCACTGATTTTACTACATATGCTTTTTCTATTTCGATAAAAAGGTTGACATCTTGAGTTGCCTAATATATTTTTAGTGAAAATCAAATGTATTTTTGATATTTCATGTCTTTATTCTTCATTTCCAGAGCTTTGGTACATTTAGATCGCCTCAAAAATAATGGTCAGTTCAAAGCAAGGTGAAGGTCAGACTGGATCTGGTAGGAGTTACTCCCCTTTGTGCACATATGGAAGATAATTTTTAGACAACATAATTGATGAAATATTCATGACTTTGTATAATTGTCAGTGACATAAAAAACAACAAAGGGAACTTATTTATTTAGTTTTGGAAAATTACTGCAAAAAAATCCCTTTTTGATATTTCTTCTTTTTTTCTAGAAAATTTTTTGAATATTGGGACATTTTAAAATGTTTTCCATAATCGGGAAATATTTAAAGGGTTTACTTTATATATCTGTGTGGGTTAAAATTAACATTCTGCTGGCTTTTTTTTTTCTTAAATTATAAAATTGTTAAATCACTTTTATCAAAATCTTTAAAGCGTTACTTTTTTATAAAACAAAAATTTATTATTTTTACATTTTAAAAAGCTTAAAATCATTTATTTTGCCCTTTTACTTTTTTCATTTTTTTGACTTTTTAAATAGGGGGGGGGGGGGGGGAAACTGAAATAAAGGGTTTAATGATGAAAAAAAGCAGTTTTCTGGGTTTGTTGTTTTTGAAAGTTTTGATGTAATTTACAATAGAGTCTGTGAGACTTCGAGATCAATTTCAGCAGCATTTTCATAGTTAAATGCAATCAAAATTATATTACTGGAGAGTAACTTGAAGATGCATTTGACAATATTAATCAAAGGAAGCTAGATTTTTTTTTGTGTTAGTAATAAACAAAACGACAGCATCAAAAATTTGAAATAGAGACCCCTTTCCTACCTCAGAATTTTGATGTAAAAGTTAAATTTGGCTTTAAATTTATTACTTTAAAAAGGTGATTTTTTAAAATATTTAAATTCAATTATTTTTAGAACATTTGTAATAAAATTTTATTTTTTCGCAGATGATTTTTTTTTTAAAGAAATTCCCAAATTTTGTTTAAACTATTTTTTTCATTTTTTTAGTTATTTTTTTTCTTTGACATTTTAACTGATTTTACTAAAAATTTAATGGGGAAATTTCAAATAAATGGGTTGGAATAAAATTTGCGTTTTTTCATATTTTATTATTCCCCCCCCTTTTTAAATTTATGACTTACTTGAAGGTTTTTAAAAATGATGGGAAAGAAATTACTTTTTTTGGAAAAAAACATGAAAATTTTTAATTTTTCCTAAGAATCCCATTTTAAAACAACAACTATAAAATTTTATCCCCAACCCCCCTTGAGAAACCCTATCCTGCCATTTTTAATTCGGGGGGGAAATTTTTAGGGTATTTTTATTTATTTTTTGAAAAATTATTCAGAAAAAGTTTTAGAAAAACCCTTTTTTTTAATAGTTTTTTTTTTCTTTATGTATTTTAAAAAGAGCTAAAATATTTGGGAAATTTCCCAAACCCATACTGACTTTTTAATTAAAAATTTTATTCTTGAATTTATTTCTAGTTATTTTTAAAAGTTTAAAACTTTTTCAAATTTCAACACTTTTTGGGCTAGGGCTTCAATAAGAAAAACTTTGAAATTTTTTTCTTTAAAAAAAGGGGGCATAACTGGAAAATATATTTAAATTAAATTTTAAACCCTTTTTTTGCATAAAAAAACAAAAAGAATGGCGGGATTTTGCTTTAGTTTTCAGCAAATTTTGTACCAAATGGCAGGGAATAGTCCCATAAAAACCATGTTTTTGAAATCAAAATTTATGTGTTTCTTAGCTACAGTTTTGAAAGTTACCTACTGCAATTAAAAATTGGCCTAAAATAAGCAGGACAGATAAATCAAATGTTAGGACTGTGATCCCCAATTTATTTATCTTTTATCAATGTTCTCCTATATATTTGCTATATAGTTTTTAAATTAATCCCTTTTTTGCCTTGCAAAAAAAAATGAAGAAAACTATTAAAAACATATTTAAAATTCTTTATAAGGGAGCCTGCGTGGTCAAAGAGTTTAGGTCCCCTAGGTTTCCAGTCACCCTTTGAATATCCTGCTAATGGATATTGAATAGTTTTACTAGTATACAGGTTGTATGTTACAAGATGAATGGTTTACATTTAGTGCCATCTAATGCCTGAAATTATGCCTATCCCACAAGTAAAGCTTAAAAATTTGCAAATACGATGTTGCAGTTTAGGTGTTGGTGCTATTTAAAACCCAAACAAAAACAGGTTCTACAAGAAACGAAGTAATTGTAGTGTTCTTGCAGATTATTTCCCCAGTTAAAAAACTATTTTGCAGAGTTGCAATACCTTGAGCTACTTGCTTACTAACATCATTAGTATGGTACATACATGTACATGTAGTTTGGCAATAAACCCATTCATCATCTACATAATTAAGGTTTTAATCAATTATAGAATGATTGATTATTGATTTAGCATAGTATTCACCAAAGGTTTGGCAATTATTATCTGTTTGATTGTACTCTTAAATTTCCCAAAGATGCTATTATTGTTATTCAGGGATTTACCGGATGCAGGATCCAGCATACAATTATATCCCAAAGAAAATCATTTAACTACTCTGGTCCTGTGGTATGGAACAACATACCAATACATGTTCGAAATTCTGATACCCTGAGGAAATTTCAAGCCTTCATATCCAATGGCAATTTTCTAAACTAAATTGATTGTACATATGTTTCCAAAAAACAATAATTTAATGTATAAAATAAAAAGTATAATAAAAACTGTTATTAGAACAGCCCTATAAATGTCTAATTCTTCAACATTGATCTACTTTTTTTTTACTTTCCATTCTGAAGTTATGAAAATGTCACTTCTCTATGTAAAAAAAATAAAATGTTTATTTATTTATTGTATTGATATGATGTTTATAATGTACATATTTTGTTGTCTAAATGTTGATTGTGATTGTATTTTATGTTGTTATGATATATACTGAGGCCCCGCATGGAAGATCGGGAAACTGAATGTGTTAGCCTCATTAAATAAAAGTCGTTACTTTACTTACTTACTTACTTACTTACTAAAATGCCTACTTGGAATGCAATCAGTTCTTTTACCTCTTGCATTCAATGTTACAGGGGTAACTTCTGGCGTATGTTTTGTTAATTTAATAGAAATATATAAGAAAAAAGCCTTAAAAACATAAACACTTATAATACAAGTTAATTAAAAATACATAAAATACAACGATACAACAATGAGCAATGAGAATTATTTTAAGTGAAAGAATGAAAAATCAGTAAATAATAAGATATTTTCTTCTCAAAAATTCTATGATTAAACAAATAGAAATTTATTATTTACGAATACAGTTGAATTGTTTTGGACGTATCCGTGAATTTTCGCTAATAAGCGTACGTCACGGAACCATTCGATACGATACAATGGCAGATGAAAACAGTCGCCACGGAAACAAACGACAGTCGACGCATGCGTGGACATTAAGTATAATTAATTAAGTTTTTACGTGATCGACTATACAAATAAAAAAATAAGTTAAGGACTATGAAATATAGACAGGACTGACTTTGAGAATTTGGCTCCCTATAAGATGCTAGAGGCTTTTTGTAGTACAAGTGGTATCTCGGTGTATTTAACCTATTTAAGGTATGCTGAATCCGATAAAGGTGGATACCAAATTGAAAAACTTGATCTTGACCATTGAAATGGCCATTTAAAATGACCACTAAAATGGCCGCCAAATTTCTTTAACATGAAATGGATGATATATCAAATGGATGATAAAAAAACAAAACAATCCAATATGGCCGAATAATCCAAGATGGTGGACATTTTTCTATAGGCCAATATAATAGTAATATAGAAGTAATATTAAAGATAGTACTGAAAATTTTAAGGCATTTAAACATAAGGGTTTTTAAGTATTTAGGGTTTTCGCAGCGAACACTAGATATAGAGCTTTCATGTATTTTATCTGGCACTCTATGCAAGCATGCCTACTCAGTTTCCTACTGCGTGATCATGTGATCATTAAATTAAAGGCACCTTTCTCTGTTATCGGTCCTCGTCGCAGTTCTCTTGTTGTCAGTTCTTTTGTTATTGGTCGTGATCTTCGTTCTTCTGTAATCGGTCCTGTGTCAGTTCTTTTGTTGTCAGATGTTCTGTTATCGGTTCACGTCTCTGTTTTCGGTCGTCGTCTTTGTTCTTCTGTTTTCGGTTCTCGTTTTCGTTCTTCTCCGTTTATTGGTCATCGGTTCCCAAACTCTGTTCTTCTGTAATCAGTCCTTGTTCTCCGTTTTCTTGTTGTCAATTCTTCTGTAATCGGTCGTCGTCTATGTTATTCTGTTATTGGTCCTCTTCTCTTTTTTTCTGTCATCAATCCTCGTCTCCGTTGTCTTGTTGTCAGGTCACTGTTTGTGTTCTTCTGTTTTCGAACCTCGTATCTGTTTGATTGTTGTCAGTTCTGTTGTTATTTGGTCCTGTCTCTGTTCTTTCTGTTATTGGTCGACGTCCTCTGTTCGCTTGTTGTCAGTTTTTTTTTTTGTTCACGGGTACCTGTCTCTCTCTTCTTCTGTTTTCGGTCCTCGTCTCTGTTCGCTTGTTGTCAGTTTTTCTGTTATCGGTCCCTGTCTCTGTTCTTCTGTTTTCCGGGCCTCGTCCCCGTTCGCTTTTTTTGTCAGTTTTTTGCTCCCTTCTTCCTTTTTTGTTATCGGGTTTTTCGTTTCGGTCTTTGTACTTAGGTAAATTGTTTTTCCCGTTCCCTTTTAATCCTTTTTTTCTTGGTATACTAAAGGGTTTTTGTCCCTTTTTTGTGTCGAAAAGGGGCCCGGGGGGTTTTGGGGCAGTCTTGTAGTTTATTTTTTCGTTTCAGTGGGAGTAGCCCGGGGGGTGAAATCACGACCCCCTTTTATTTGGGTTAAAAGGGAGACAGTGTTAAACCCCCACTGCCCCATCGGTTTCCGGGTCGAATAATTTAAACCCTTTTTGAAAAATCTTTTTACATTAAAAAACTTTTTAATGGTAACAAAAAGGGGGTATTACAAAATATATTTTAACACCTTTTTACTATTGGTAGCGCCAGGCCCACGTGACTTTTATATATGGTGAAAGAAAATATTACTCGATTTATTACAAGTAATATTTTTATAGATAACTTTGCTGTTACCTTTTAAGATATCCTGGATTTATTTGGAGGTACCCCGGAATTCTAATGTATATCAAATGCCTGTGATTTAATCTTCTTGTAGAATTTTCTTCAAAACCGTGACTGAATTCCAAAATTTTCGAAGAGCTGGGGCCATGGTAAAAAGGCAAGCACACGTAGCAATCTCCCCGGTTTTCAGGACATTTTATGACTCGATGAAAATATGGTGTTGTTATTGTTGTTGTTGTTTTTTAACTTTTAACGCTTTAAAATTTTCAAAATTAAAATCAGTCACTTATTTTTAACAAGAATAGTCATTTTTGGTGTTTTTCTGTTTAATTTTTTGATGAATGCTGATGAAGTATACACTTCTAAGTTTAAGATGACTTTTTATCCATCGTATATCTTAATGCAGATATAATTGAATCTAAAAAAATGAATTATGCAGATATAATTTTCAGCAGAAAACACAACAAATACAGACAAAAACCACACACAAAAAACTTACATGCAGCATACATGTGTAATGTTCACAATGTGCTGAAAAAACGGCTCTTTATTAATTTCAATATTTCAGCAAGTGACACATTTTATAAAAGAATGGGACAGAAATATTGTTGTAACCATTTAAAAAGTAGGATTTGTAAAAATGTGTAAGTTGGATATTTTTTACCTAGTTTGCTCAACACTCAATTAACACATTTTTATATATAAACCTGAAGTAGAAAACAACTTTCATAGATTGAGATAGAGCCATAATGTCGTAGATATTTGGGTTACAAAAAGTTTTTGATCCTGATAATGTTTCAAGTAGGATAAACATATTACAAGCTTATATTCTTAAATTTTGTACTGCCTTAATTCATTATTTTTAAAATACGTGCAATTATGTATTATTATGTCTTTAGTTAATAGTTTCTAGAGAAAAGGCTTTACAAAGGTGGTATCTTTTTATTTTATATATAAATTTTATAATGTGTCACATGTCGCCTTTAAACAGATTTTGTGGTGATTTTGCGCATACTTAATCCCGCTTTTGCATGTTGGAACAACAATATTTCAATATTTTATTTGTTTGTATACACAGCCTAATTGCTTATTTTGTATAGTCTTATTTTATTGACCTGTCAATTATGAAAACATTACAGCACTCATTGAAATATTAGATTCCACTTCGATTTCGTTAGTAAAGTTTACGAAGAATTAATAGAGGACATTTTGTTTGTTTTGTCTTTATTTCATCGAGTGGGCTTTAAAAACAGTATTCCCACGAGTGGCGTAGCCACGAGTGGGAATACGGTTCTTAAAGTTTACGAGTATAGTAAACTATAAAACTAATGTTAATGAAAGGGGGGGGGGGGGTTGCAGTATATATTTTAAAACACTTTTGTCTCGGTTTGTGTTGTGTTTATGGCATTAAAATGACATTTTTTGACATTTCAAAAATAATTTAAAAGTGACATTTTCCACACTTTCTCCCGTAATTGTTTTTACGAGATAATAATTCCCAATTAGAAAATATTATTTCGTTTTAACGAAATATAAAATCTTAATTACGAAATATTGATTTGTTATTACGAAATATTATTTCGTAATTACGAAATATTAATTTGTTATAATGAAATATTCATTCTTTGGTAATATTTATAAAGAAGGATTTGAAACTAAGTTTATTGTTTTAAAAAATATAAGTCAAGTAAACAAAACATAAAAAGTGATTTTCTTTCAATCTTAGTCTTATACCTTAACGCGCTAGTAAAAAAACAGTACTGTATATAACTGTTATTGAGCCATTAGGCTTATTTTCGTTATATTTGGTGGCCAATCTCATTAAAATCTGATCATATTGAATAATCATTTGATTTTGACAAGAAAATAATTAATTGCATCATATTGTATCATAGTTTTTAATGGCCAATTTTAGTATTTTTAAAGCGGCCATTTTGAATTGACGTTTTGAAGGTCAAGGTCAATTTTATTATCTTGGTATCCACCCTCATCGTCCCTTTAGGCCATAACCCCCTATTTTGGTTAAAAACTCTCTCGATATTCTTGTACATAAAATGCCTCTTTTGCCCTTCAATTTTTTTCTAAATCCAAATCTGGGCTTTTAAATTTTGAAAAAAATTTTTGTTTCAAAGAACAAAAAACATCTATTTTAGTTATTAAAATCTATATGGGCCCTTTTTTTGCATAAAAAAACAGGGGTTTGGGTGTTAAAAAACGGATGGGGGGAAACCCTTTGACCAAAAAATTTGTGCGTTTATATGGTCAAATAATAGAGTTGACAAAACCCTCCCAAAACCCCGGGAAGAGGGTTTTTCTCAAAAAGAATAAAAAAACCAAACTGCAAAATCCCTTTCATTGGAAGCTTTTTTCGCGGACAAACTTTTTTCCCACAACCTGGGGGTAAAAAGGGATAGCGATAAAAATTCGGGCACTTGATGCGTTATTTGCAAAAAATGAAAACAGGCGTATGCCTACTAAAGAAAAGGAATATGTCAAGCTTATTGCAAAAGCATCTATTGAAGAAATGCAAAAATACGATGTTTTACTTTGCACTACAGCAGTTGGTGCAAATCCAAAATTAATTAAAGCATCAGACGTGTCTCAGGTTAGTTTGTTTTTATTTTTTCAGGCCCTACAAAATGTTAATACCAAATGAATTTACAAACACGTTATATAAGGTGTTATTTAATTAAATTGTATGTGAGTTAGATAAAGTAGAGTTTTCTTAATTCTAAAATTAATATTTCGTATAGTTTGATATCATTAAAAATATATATGTTTTATCACTTGAATGAATATTAATTTTGTTACATTGCATTTATCTTCTGGTATGTTTTGTTCATCATACGAGCATATAAAACATTTCGTCCGGAAAATCTTATACCATTGGCACTCAAGATATTAATAATTGAAAGATTTTGATTATACGAGGCAAAGCAACAATGTAGTAAGAACTTTGAATATGTCTAAAAAGTATAACTGTCGGTGTATAACATTATCATTTTAAGATCATTATTGATGAAGCTGACATGTGTCCAAAACCACACTGCCTTGTTCCTATCATTGCTACAAATCCGAAACAGGTCGTTCTGATTGGGGATCACAAACAGCTTAGACCAATCATTATGTGTATAGAGGCGGCAGAACTCGGACTAGACAAGTCATTGTTTGAGAGCTATGCGCACAATCATTCGTCAACGGATGCTTCATTCGTTATGCTAAACGAACAGTACCGGATGGTATGTTTAGCTGTAATTTATAATGCTACAAAAAAGATGATATGATCATATATAGTTTTATATATATAACAGATATAACAGAAAGACACGTCCGAATGTTATAATATAATTTATATTGGTGTGATATGTAGGAATATGTAGTTGATGATTACAGCGAACCTTTAAATGTAGTGTGTAGTCATTACTAAGATTGACTTGTTAAAATGCTGCTTTGCCTTATTTGCTTATCATTATCTTAAGATGAACAAACAAAAAGCAAACTGTTGACTTTAATTTTAGATATTTGACAACGTCTTCTACAAAATGTTCTACAAAGTTTTTTTCTTTGTAATACACGAAGACTGGGAGGGACATTTCAACATCACGAATACATAATCGATTTTCGATTTCATCATTTTGAAAACAAGACCTGTGTCATAGTAATATGTCTGATTTTAATTATTTGAAATGTACCAGAGTAATATTATTATTTTAAATGATTTTGTGATTTTTATCAGGAATTCTCATTTAAATAAAAAAAATAAATATGTTGTTTTAATTAAAGCAAGCAATTGAAATGTTACATATAACAGTAAGGTTATAACCTTTTGTACGTGTTTTTGTAATTTTGATATCAAATGATTCAAATCTAGCGAATATTAAAGGATGCCTGTATTTTCTTTACAAAGCATCCTCAAATATGCCAGTTTCCTTCTGAACAATTTTATGATGGTGCTTTGAAGACCGGTAGAGGCGTTTGGACACATGAGCAATTAGATATCTGGCCGCATGATCATCACAATGCGTATCCTCATGTTTTTATCCATATAGAAGGTGAGGAAAAATTTCTAACAGTCTCTACAGAGGAAGGGAACGAACAGTCGAGAAGTAATTTTGAAGAAGTTAAACACGTTGTGAGTATGCAACTAATTTATGTTGCACGTTAACTTGTTTACGAATAAAACGTGGCTTTTTTCAGAGTATATCAACCACTTATTTTTCTAAGCACAAAAATAAAATTATTTCTTTCTAATGTAATGATTAAAATGTATGTATTTCATAAGTTATCTTTAAAGATAATTATCTGGGGCTTTAATCAATCCTGATTAAAATGTCAGCAAATGTTTCATCCCGCCATTTAATTTTCTAATTCAGCTAAACTGAGATCAAACAATTGCCAAATGGTGATGACCATTAGAGCTAATTCTAATTAGCTTGAAACAATTTGAATATATAAATGGAAAAAAGATATAATTATGGAAAAAGTTTTTGACCTTTGTTTTATTTATTAATTTATGTTCCAACCTAATCGTTGAATACGAAAATACTTACAAATATGTGCAATTTTTGAAAAAATGACATACTCATTTAAACTTTAATGTTTTAAGCACTCAATTAATATAGATGTTTATAACATGTTTGCTTCCCTTAAGGTCAATGTGTATAGTTACTTCACAAGAACAGTGCCATCAGAGTCCGTTCAAGTTATTTCACAATACAATGCGCAATGCCATGAAATAAAAGCAGAGCTAAGAGAAAAAAGGGTTTGTTGATGTAAATGTCAGTACAGTTGTATCGAGTCAAGGTTTGTATGTTTGAATTGCGTTTATAGAATCATTATCATTAACGCATATTTTTCAAAGTAAATATTGCAAATATTTTAAAACATTTTTATAATTAAAATGTGTCTTTGCATCAGGAAAAGCATTATTAACGGATAAATTTATGCAAGCACGCGCCGTTACTGCACTCTTTTGTTGTTGTTGTTGTTGTGTTGTTTTTTTTGTTGTTGTTTTGTACATAAAGTTGACTCGGGCTGCCAAACTGGGCATTAATAGTTACGATAAGGTGAACGAAAAAACCTCTTTTTATTTATAACAAGAAAATAACTTTTGTCAATATTTACTTTTTTCCTAGGTGGAGAATGGGACTATGTAATATTCAGTACTGTCAGGTCATTACCTTCGTATAAGATAGAACGACATCCAACTCTTGGGTGGTGCAAACACAATCTCGGCTTTATTACTGACAGAAACCAAGTAAACGTTGCCTTAACCAGAGCCAAAAAGGGACTGATCATAATAGGTGAGTTTATCCAATAAATATTGTCAATAACTATTTATAGTATCAACATGATTTTCCGAAAGAAAATAATTAAAATCCTAATTAATGTTCTTGTGTTTTATTGCAATGATAAAATCAAACTACGTGATGGTTTATATTAAATAGAAATATTGCCTCCCAACTTTTTATAAAGATATTGTATTACAATGACTGTAATTACCTTCCCTGACGTGACCTTTCACAGAACCTTTATATTACCTACGGCTCGGGTTATATTTGCAAATAGCCTTTTATATAGGGCCATATAACCTGTCAACAATCTTTATAACGAATTTATAATACAGCAATCATCTTTTTTTAGAGAAAAAAGTAAGAGTTCTTCATGAATCGACAGCAGCCGTGTATATAAAACTTTATAATACTGCACGTTTGTAACGTCATTTTTCATTGGATAATCGTGACGTTTATACAGTTTTATATACACGGCTGCTGTCGATTCCTAAAGAAATCTTACTTTTTTTCGCTAAAAATGATGCTTGCTGTATTATAAATTCGTTATAAAGATTGTTGACAGGTTATATGGCCGTATATAAACGGCTGTTTGCAATATAACCCTCGCCTAACGGCTCGGGTTATATTTACAAATAGCCGTTTATATAGGGCCATATAACCTGTCAACGATCTTTATAACTAATAATATAAACGTCACGATTATCCAATGAGAAATGACGTTACAAACGTGCAGTATTATAATATGTTATCAAATAGATTTCTTAAATGAAGCCAAATATTATGTATTGAGTATGTTTTCTGAAGATTTTTGTTGAGATTCTTTAACGATATGTTATCCTCGAAATTGATATTTGAAACTACAGATAATTGCTACATGGTCTCTTTTAAATAAACATTTTTAAGTACACATAGAGAAGATATGTTGCGCATTAAGCTCTATTAAGTAAAGGTAAACAAAGTATGAACATAGCGTGAATAGAAAAAAACTGACAGTCTTTTTAAGAATGGGCCAAATTTATCTGACCAGTAATAGGGAAAAAATCTTCCGATATATATTTTGCACATATTCCTAATTGAAATAAGACCTATTCAGTAAGAGTTCCCTAGATTTCATAAAATTTATGCTTTAAAATGATTTTTACCCAAAGATGAGCATATCCTGAAGGAAATTATGTATATATAAATTGCATGAACATTGATTCTTGAAACATAAGTAATCTTTCAGAGATTTTTATTGTTTCGTATAGGAAACAAAAATCTACTTTCGTGTGATGAAGTATGGAAAAATCTTATTGACTACTACGAACTAAGAGGTTGCATATTGTCTCCAGATAAATTCCCATCACCTTTCAAGAAAACAAGGCAACAGATTATGGAAGAGGAATTCGAAAAGCATGCGCGGAGATTTGGAACTAAGAGCAAGAAAGTGCCACAAGGAAAGATAATTCATCATCAGGGAAAGGATAGAAGGAAATAATTTTGTGACAATAACTTTCAATATTTGTAAAGCAATATCATTTTAAATGATATTAATAAAATTTGTGCAGCATGTAAATGTGAATAAGATCATGAAGTGAAATGTATTGCTTAATTTATCAAGGCTAATGTCATGATGCCATAAAATAGTGAAGTCATAATTTTTGCAATGTCTATAAATACATTGTATTTTGCCATAATTCTACATGGTTTGTGCAAATATTAATAAGTTTGAATAAATTACATGTATATACATTTTCATGTCGTGAATGTTAGATTGTTTGAATATAATTCGCTCTGATATTTCATATGTCTACAAAAGGCTTTTAGCAAATGTATGAATGACATATTATTATTTTATATATTGTATATAGTAAATGGTTGAGCAGGATCAATGTTAACTCCCTGTCCACCGCAATTAAAATATGGATAGATGGCAATATTGACCTTATGTACATGCAAATTATTTTGTTTGTGTTCATATGTTAAAAATGTGACTGCTTTGGCAACCAGTTAATTTGTAAGATGCATATGCAAAAAATTGTTTCAAACTTTAGAAGACTGTAGATTTTTAACAAGATTTATGTGATGAGACCCGAAGGGTCAGTTTTCTGACATGTGAAACTCTTACATATGATGTCTTAAAGTAATTTTCCGTTTTTATATTGAAAATGTTTAAAAGCATTATAATATATATTTTTTAATTTCTTTAGAGCCTATCACTATATGTGAATATATATGTGTTATTGTTAGTTTATAAGATACATTCCATTCAATAACTTTTTCCGTTCTATTGACAACAATTTGCCGCTGATAACTTAAGAAAATATAGCTGATTGTTCATTCTCCTGAATTTTTGATCTGAACAGACTTTTACAACTTAGTTGGGTGTTACAGGTCATACAGCGACGTGCATTTATAACTATGTTTGTTGGATTGAAAAAATGTGTGTCATTTACTCATTGTATACGACAACAGTATTCATTCCTCTTCTCTTTTATTATAAATCATTATTTGAACTTTGCAATATCAATTGTTATTCCATTAGTTTAATGGTAGTTCTTTCTAGATTAAAAAGTACTAGTAGGTAGGAGACTTTTTCACTTGAAAATATTTGCACTTGAATTTTACATTTTGAATTACTTATATTACTGTTTGCATCAGCTTGAATATGCCTCTTTCTAAAGTCTGGTAATATAAGTCAGTTTGATATCAGTTAATTCATAGCATTCATAACAAACCATTTTATGAGTGTCTTATGCCATTAATAATGTCTACAATAAATAGTGTGTATATTTGAATTAAACAGTATATATGTATTTGAAGAAATATACTACTAAACAAATTGTTCAATGTAGTTTTTATTTCCATGTAGTTTTTTTTTCTTGCATTCATACGTTACAAATATGACATACTGCACAATTATTTTAGTTTTGGGAAAAAAAGAGAAACAAGTATTAATTAATTGAAAGAAAAATGCTTAGATGTTATTCGGGGAAGAATCTCAATTAAAACACATATACGTGCCTAGCAAAT